GAAAAGTATTTGTACTGTACATAGTAATTTAACGTCATGCACGACTGAGCCCCAATTCATTCATGTCCGGGGAAGGGATTATAGTTTGGTATATGATCAAAAAGTTTAAAAATAAGCCAAGTCTGAAGTCTAGATGGCGGGATCCACACACTAGGGGTTTTTGCTTTTCCACTCCCATGCCGATATTACAAGTTGCTTACTTTACATCACCAGTGGAGAATATTATTCAGCTGCAGGAGACTCAGGTGAGCTATCAAGCTGATAGCCGGCCACCTATCATATCACCAAACCCAATAGAACCAGGGAGCCAATAGACAAGGAGCAGGTATGGACAGAGAGGAGGATTATTCAGGAACGACTATCAATGCTTCGATCGAACTGGTAGTGATCGACCAGGCTTCGCATTTTTCACACTCTGTTTAAGGGATTCCAAGTGTTCAGTCGTCTCAGTGCATCAGGGGCAATACTTTCTTTTCGCCAACAGTTGTATCTGTCAGGGCCTATCTCTTTATGCCCAGGGTGGAAGTTTTGGGATCGTGCTTCTTGAGGGGGCATTTCGTCGTCAACAATCTGTTTATCTCTCCATACCTTTCCAACAGTCTCAGAAAGATAACTGATTTGAACCCATCATGCAGCCCAAGATAGTCGCAGAGACCAAAGATGAACGTCAGCGTGAGCCAGCTGATAATCTCGTAACGACACTCGACAAAGTTGCTCAACGACAGCCCAATGATACCGCTGTGGTGTCTCTTCACCAGAAAGACCATCTTGGCGTCGGTGCCCTGCGCTGGACTTATTCGCAACTCCGCGATGGCAGTGTCCGCCTGGCGCATCGGCTCGCAGCTGCAGGCATTCGAAAGGGCAGTCGCATCGCTACCTTTTTGTATAATGAGATAGAATGGACTCTCCTGTTCCTTGCCAGTGCACGGCTAGGAAGCCACTTTGTCCCCTTGGATCCTCGCTTGCTCGACACCCCGTCCGAAGCAGTCTATCTGCTGAGAAAGATCTGGGCGGAGGTAATATTTGTATCTAATCTCACCATGGCCGAATCCTTGGAGGAGATACTCAACAAAGAACTGATGCCTCAGGTGCTATTAAAGGGCATTGTCGCGCCCGTGACGGCCGGGCACAAACCGGAAGCTCTGCCGCGCGGGTGGAGGAGGTTATCAGCAATCATGGATGGCCCTGATCCATCCGGGATTGTTTTGAATAAGTTAAACCGCCATGATACAATCCTTATGCTGGCAACTAGTGGCACCACGTCGCGGCCGAAGATCTGCCCCCATACATCTGTTACCATCGTGACCCCAGCACTTGGTCTTGCGGACAATTGGTCACTCACTCGTGAGGATATCATCTGCCAGCACTTGCCATCTTTCCATGTTTTCAATATTGCCATGAACCTGGCCTTCTGGGTCGCTGGTGGAACGGTTGTGATCCCAAGCCCGGAATTCAACCCTGCCGCAACCTTTGAAGGTCTTACTTTCGGTTCACGAGTATGGATCGCCGCAGTAACGACGATGATCCATGCCATGCACACATACTCGATGGTCACAGAGGAAGACCTTGCGTCACCGTACGGGATTTGTCTCGGAGGAGGCCCGATTACCCCGCAGGCTCTGCGGGAGTGCAGACTGCTCGGCGCAAGCAAGATTGTCGCGGGCTATGGAACGACTGAAGGAGTTGCGACTTTATACAATGTTATGGATGTGAATGATCCACGAGTTACGGATGTACAAGACGGCGATGAAATATGCCTGGGATCAGCTATGGCGGGGTCCCACCTTCGTATTTGCGCTCCCGGCAGCAGGACACCTTTGCATAGGAACGAAATCGGCGAGCTCCACCAAGGAGGATATCCTATTTTCGACGGGTATTACCAAGGCAGCGAAGAGGATAATGCAGCTTGTTACAAGGAGGGAACGGTGCCTTGGTTCGCGACGGGGGACCGTGGGTACATGGATCATGACGGTAACATTTATCTCCTGGGCAGATTTAAGGACCTGATAATTCGTGCTGGAGAGAATATCTCCCCATTGAAGATCGAGCAATGCCTTGCTGGCCAGCCAGGTGTTGCCAGTGTCGTCGTGGTAGGAGCGCCCGATGATATTGTGGACGAAGTGCCAGTGGCCGTCATCGAGACATTCCATCCTGAAGATCGAAGCTTTTTCCTCGGGCTTCAATCTGTAGTGGTTCGAGAGATGGGCCGATCATTTTCACCCAAGTGCATTCTCCATCTCCAACATGACCTTGGCCGCGAGAAATATCCCACTACCACCTCGGGCAAGATCAAGAAGAATGTCGTCAAGGAATGGGTAGCAGACCACCTTAGGGGATCCACTACACAGGTATCGTCCCGCACACAAACCCCAAGTATTTCAGAGTCTAGTACTGTTCTCACTACCCCATCTATCACCTCTGCAACAAAGGATGATATCACCGGGCAACTCACGGCATGCTGGTCCTCCGTTTCCGGGTTTGATCCACTGGACATCAAGCCGGACATGCCCATTCGCACATTTACGGACAGCACAATGCTCATCCAGTTCGTTCATTTGGCCAAGCACAGGGGATGGAAGCTCACACTGAAGGAGCTGTTGACAGCCAACACCATCGAAAAACAAGCCCAGCTGCTCAGTGGGACTAAATCCACACCCCCAAGCCCTCCGGCACCAACTGAGTCAGAGACTACAACGATGATGGCCATCAAGAAAAAGCGGGCAGCCGTCCAGTTGGGATTACACGTGGATGATATTGAGGAGCTTGTTCCGATGACTGATCTCTTCCGGATGTTAGCGGTTGATCGGCCATTTCCGGGAGTCTGGGATTTTCGTATCTGCTTCTCAGTCCGACGTGATCTGAGTCCAGACAAGGTCGCGCTCATCCTGGGAACGTGGCTACGACGACACGAGCTACTGCGTAGCGTGGTCGCAACTATTGGGGATGAGACACCTGTTTACGCAGTGATGCAACCCAAAGAATCATGGCTCAGGCAACAGATCATCTTCGGCCCGGAGGTTGATGGCCTGCATAGAGTCGCCGACCACCAGCTAGATGATTTCGTTGATTCAAGCTATGGTCCCCTTTGCAAGATGACCATTTTGCCACTCCGTCACACTTCGCGATGTGGAATAATCATGCATATCCATCACGTTCTCTTTGACGGGATGGTGATGGAACGCTGGATCCGCGACATTAATCATCTCTTCGATGGACAATCCCAGCTAAACTGGTACCCTTACCGTGAATTCGCTGCAAACTATGAAGCCTACCGGTCTACAATCGATGCAGAGGAGTCTATTCAATATTTCGTCAACAAACTAAGCGGTATTGCCTCCGCAAAGGATGCGGTCTGGGATATCCACCGCGTCTTGCAGAAGCTGGATAAGAATTACAGCCCCCCAACGAACCCCGGTAACCACGTCACCCCTGCGAGAGCCAACCCCGATACTCTACCAAAGCGTTTCACCCACTTGCCCGAACTTCCACAGATGCGCTCTCGGTTCGGAATCTCCGCCCCAATCATTGCCCTAGCCGCCTGTGCATTGATCAATGTCCGATACACCGGAGCATGCGAAGCCATTATCACCAATCTTCAGTCCGGTCGATCATGGCCTACTGAGGATGGCCCCAGCGACGTCAACGTCTCTGTACTCGAAATTGACGGGCCGACATTGCAGAACCTCCCCGCGCGGATCCCAGTCGCACCAGAAGACTCCGTACTTGATCTACTGAACAGAGTGAGAAAGGAACAGGATGAAATGATGCTCCGCGAGCACGTCCCTGTCAAACGAGTTCATGACCTGGTGTCACAGGGGCTCAATGGAGCCGAAGACGCTGCCGTCCTCTGGGATCTCCTGACTAACCAGCTCTTTGACTGGCTGCTGGAGCCATATAGGCACTGTGCCAATGATGCACTGGAGCTGCTCCGCGATACCAGTCTGTCCCGCCCGAGCTGGGTGTGGCTCCCCCGTCTCTCGGACGGCAATGTGATGCATTGCAACATTTACCACGCAGATGCAGACTTGCCTGTGGATAAGACCAACTTTATTGTGGAGGAGTACCTGTGCGCAGTGGCATGGCTGGCTGACCCTGCTAACGCGCAGGAGCCTGTCTCAGCATGCCGGTTTGAGGGATATATGGTCGGATTTGCAGATTTCATGTATGATACACGCGAAAGTTCTTAACGTAGCGTGAGGAAGCAAAGAAAAAGGCTTTCTAGCGTTCAGGGAAATCCTTATAAGCTACGTTCCCCCACGTCGTTTTCCTCCGCTCATCGTGTACGCTCCTATATCCTTGATACTTTCTCACTGTTCCTCCTAGGGTCCGGTCGTCTGTTTCTGGGAGTCAACTTCTTGTGCCCGAGGCATGGGGCGCCTGGGATCTGCGTCAGTATTCTAGGAGCTTCGAGGGGCGTTCCGTGAGTCCTATCTTCAACGGTGTGCTGGATTCAGTGTGGGAGAAACCTGTCACTCTGTGAGGCGTCAAGAGATATACCATCACAAGGCAGACTGTAAATGGCTATGGCCACAATAATCACTCGCCTGTCCATTATTGTTCGGGTGATTGTCGTAAAATTTATATCTCCGCAATACTTTTCATCATAACCTCAGGGGTCACCCCTACTCCCGCATAAAAGGCTATTATATTATATAATAGGTATTCTATAAATATTTACATAGTGAAATATCATGTTATTAAATAAAATATATAGATATTCTAGCAGTGTGCCTACAATGCTAAAAATATGTGGTAATTAGAATAGTACCTTAGTATTATAGATATTCTATCATCTGCAGTCCAACTCGTGGGATATAAGGGTGGGCTACATAGGTAGTGGTTCAACCCATAATCTGCATGGGTTGGATCAAAAATAGTGCGGATCAATCCATATCCAATCGACGACCAGTCTAACCTTGAGGCGTTGCGTGATCTTCGCTGTGCGGGGATCACTTTAAAGCGGACAGCTACCATTACTACCCCCTCAGCCAGGTTCCATAATGCAAGTAACTGAAAACAAGCCAGTGGCCATTATTGGCGGTGCGTATCTCGCTATTTGCAGCGTCAAAGAATCAATTAACAAGTCCATAGCCGGGATTTTCGGCCTCTCGCTGGCTGTCGAGCTGCGAAGCAAAGGTACAGTGGTGTCCAGACTAACAAAAAGAGACCTTGATAACATCTAAAACAGGCTATCCGGTTACAGTATTTGATCGAAACGCATATGATAAGACGGGCTATGACCCAGAAAGCGAGGATGCACAGGCTGCATCGGTGGATCTGAACAAGATTGTGAGCAACTTATGCTTTTCAAGAAGTCGGAAAGAAGAAGTTAATAGCTATATGGTCTTAGCTTCGCGCATCATACGGGACGGAACTACACTATCAACGCCTCGCTCTGGAGAGTCGACAGGCATGGGTGGCCTGCGACAAAGAACGCGGAATCTCGGAAAGAAACGATCAAGACGACAGGAGGCTATTCGTAAACGGTGGAATGTTACGTGTCCAGCCAACTGATAGACTGGGTGAACTGGAAAAAGAGACACTTGCAAGCATGGAGCGAGATGGACTTCGTGACACGCAGTTTGTCAAAAGCAGTCCTGAGGACCGACATCGGGCGGAGAGCTTGGGGTGGAAGAGCAAACTCCTTGATTTCGAGATACCAGATACCGAGCCAGGGCAGACGTATGATGCAGTCCTAGACTCACTCGCTGGGTTTGTGAGATGTAGTAATGCTTGTGCTTACTGGCACAAGATTGCAGTGGCGAAGGGGGTTGTGTTTCGCTTTGGCAAAGAAGGTGCAGTTGAATCCTTAGTAAAGGCTCCTAGCACCCTGGAGCCCGGAAAGGAGAAGGTCACAGGTATTCGAAGTGAGGATGGGGCTCTTCATGTTGTGGATACTGTTGTTGCTGGTAAGTCTCCCCTCTGTAGTTGTGCGTTGCTGATCAGTTATAGCTGGGTCCTTCTCGACTCAGGTCCTGCCCAACTTAAGCTACCATCTCGAGTCATCTGCCGGCAGTGTAGCCACGCTCAAAATTGATATCAACCAGACAGAGCTCTGGGATAAGTACTCCCCCGGCAAATTTCCCGTCATCACTTGGAAAGCAACTCCCCGCGATAAGGCCGGCAAGGACACTGGTAGTATCTACGTCTTGCCTCGCACGCCGGAGGGTTACCTCAAGATCGGGTACCGAGGGATAAAGGCAAGAGGCTTCGCCCAGCAGCTCATCAAATGCTGACGACCCACCCAGTTCACCAACTTCCAACCGGCCCCTGAAGGAACTCCGTTCACGCAGGACGGGAAATGGTCTGTGCCTTTGTCAGCAGATCAATGCAAAACACTGCCAGAGCCGGCGATACAAGCTATAACAGAGTTTGTATCTATCTTCCTTCCAGAGTTCGAGGGCGTGCCTTTCTCGTCAACCAAGCTCTGCTGGTATACAGACTCTCTCGACAACTCCTTTGTAGTACGCACATCACCCCCCTGTCATACAGCGAGTACCGAATCTGACACAGATCTTGCTAGATTGATTATGTCCCAGACTACGCAGAAAAGTCGGTGTTTGTATGCACGGGAGGTAGCGGCCACGGTGCAAAGTTCCTGCCGGTTCTTGGGAAGGTAAGGCAGTGTCTTGCTCACAGCAGTACCACTCTTACACGCACTAATATTTCACTAAGCATGCTGCGGATATCTTCGAGAACGGAGATAAAAGCACAACATACATGCGGCCCTTTTGGCAATGGCGACCCGACGCACCCCGTAGGAACGGCTTAGAGGAGGGACCCGGCGGGCCAAGAGACATTTCCCATGCATCCTTCCTTTGATGCGTGCGTTATTACATGGCAAAACGAGAGTGGGATAGGCCGATCCATTTGTCATCTAACCAATTTGCATCCAATTACTGCAACCAGCGTCTGAAACAACCAATGTAACTTGGCACGTCGGACGCTCAATGTTCACTAGATTCTTGCAAGGAAAGGCTTTGCTTTGGATTTTGTCGCCGACAAGCAATCTACCAAGGCTCTTGGATGTAACTTCGGCGGGCTTGGCAGCTTCAAGCCAAGACGCCGGTAGCACAGCGTGGGATGGCCTGCTCGCAAGGTGCTTGACGGTGTGAGTGAGGCGTAGGCCATGCAAATCGCGTATGCCTCTCGTCAGGGAGTTAAGTGATTGAAACGCGCGTCAGCCGAAAACAAAGCCTACCCCTTGCTGAGTCTCTGATGACAAAATGGTAAACAAGACATTTATAACGCTTACTTGTGATGGGCCTTTCTCCTTGAGCACGATAAAATTTCCGATCATTCCATCCAGTATGGCAACAATATCTGCTGCACCGCAATCGCGGGACCAAGACCCAAATCCTCAGGCGAAAGGGACAACTCGCCTCTCGATCGAGGACCCTAACGCCGTAGACAGAAGAGAGATCGGCGACATCACACTATGCCGCAACATCCACAAAAGACCAAGTACGCCCGTTGACACCAGATATGGAAAGAAAGCTGGTCCGCATGAACTTCTGGTGCCTCCTCCTCCAACGGTGTTGTGGGGGTGGTCTAAGAAAATACCAGACCGTAGAGAAATTAGCAAAACGAGATTTAGCCATTAGCGATATTGGAGACTAACTCTACCACGTCAATCCAGCTTGTATCCAGGAGGCCATCTACAGACGAATCCACCTCCCCATCCACTTCTCATTAACCCTCTTCGCCTCGTCCACAAGCCCCAACTCCAATAACAACTGCACACTCCCCCTAGCAGCCGACTGCAACGACGAGCTCACCCAAGCATGCGTCGGCGCCGTATGCTCGCCAATAAAGATCGTACTGTGCTCGGTGACATGATACGCAGGGATATACAGCCTGTGCTGCTCGACGTCTGGGCGACACCACGCCGTCGCCGTGTGCTCGTCCTGCAACCAGCACAGCCGCTCATAGTCGCCCGTGTAGAGCTCACGCGCTTTCTCGCCATGGATTGAGACAATGGCGTCGAGGACAGTCTGCACGTGCTCGTCGTCTGAAAAGCTAACGAACCGGTCACTCCAGTCACCGCCGCGGTAGTGCATTATAAGCCCCGGGCGGGACTCGTTGTGGCCATAGACCGGGTAGTACAGGGCCCCGACGGGATTGCTGGGTGGTTTCGAATACCCACCAAAAATAGGTCGGGGCCCCTTTTCCCAGAAGCGTTCGCGAAAAAGGAGGGCGACTTTGCAGGCGGATTTGAAGCGGAGGCCGGCTTCGCTGATTGCGCGGGAGAGGACGGAGGAGAAGTTAGGGAGGTCCATGAAGCGTGTCATCGTGAAGGGGACCGCCATGATTGTGTAGTCGTAGTCTTCAGACTCGTAGGTGCGGTTGGTGATACTGGGATACCAGGAGAGGCGGGTACGGGTTGTACCATTGCGGCCCGGGATGGGTTCTAATTTTCGGATCTTGCGGTTGAGGGTTAGGCGGTTGCCGACGTGGGGAAGAAAGGCATCAGAGAGTCGATTGAAGCCGCCATCTATGCAGAGCCAGGTTGTTTCAGCGAGGGCGCTGCTGCTGCCGTCGAGGCCCAGATTGGAGTTGTGGTGAAGCTCGTCCCAGAAGACGTCGTAGTCGGAGCTTGTCCAAATTTCGTCGGTGACGTTCAGGCTGGCTTTGAAGACGTGGCGCATCATAGCTTGCTCGCTCCAGTCGTCTAGGCCTTTGTCCATGGCGAGTTTGTGTTCGCGCCAGATGTCTCGTTGGAGGGACTTGAGGGTGGTCTCGTTCTTCAGAATGCGGTCCATTCTGCCCTTCGTGCTGAGGTACTCGGCACTGGACATGTCAGGCGCTTCTTTTAGGCTTGGATCCGCCTCGATCTCAGCACGAGTGGGAATGCGGCCATCAGGGTGTCGACGAGTGCCCTGCGCAATAAGCTCATTCGGGTGATGCTGGATCCATGGAATAAAATCAATCTTCCACCGAGGGTCATTCCCATTCATCTCGTTCAGGATATCCGCGAGCTGGAACGTCATCTCATGATCAGTATACCGCAGGGTCTCTGTCTCATTACTGTCTTTGTACGTGACAGAATAGGGCAACCGCATCGGCCCCATCTCCGCCCACTCCTGCGTCCCAGCAACATACCGCGTCCGGAACCGCCCTCCGACGCGATCGCTGGCTTCGATGATTTCCCAATTGTGGACGCCGACGCTGTCGAGCATTAGGCCTGCAGCAAGACCGGCGATACCAGCCCCCACGATGGCGATCTTGGTGTCCTTGGGAGAGTGACCGGATGCGTGGCCACCGTGTGTTTCAGTCGTATGTTTGATGGCGGCAACTCCGTCGAACCAGGCACCGAGTGAGTCGAAATCTTTGAGGAGGGGAAACTTTGTATCGGCGAGCGATCTTTTCTTTGCTGTTCGACTCAGTCGAACGGGCTCACTCTTCCCCAGGAGTCTTGGTGTTGACGTATCTGACTGGGTGCCATGGGCGTAGATGCAATTGTCCGCTGGGGCATCGCTAGAGACAGCCCAGGCGAGTCGCTCAGGGGGGTGATCTTCGACAGTAAAGCGACCGATGATCTGCTTCGAAGATGTATCAGGACTCAAACACGACGCATAAACAGCCTCGATGATACCAGGGTAAGCTTCGCTCCAATCGAGGTAGACATTAGCCAGTCCACCAGGCTGGACAACATCGGACGTCGAAACTCGAACGATGCTGGTACCCTGAGGCCTGCTGAGCACGCAGTTTACTTGGGTCAACAGCAATGCCGCACTCGCAATTGTCTGGACTGCCATGTTTCGTTTGGAGTCTACCGGCCACGAAAGCAGGCGACGGTCGGACCGGGTTTTATTCTTTCTGATAGGCGATCTGCAGGAGCACAAGGTACCAGGGCCATGCCGCGCGTGAGGACCTTCGAGTCTGCAGGAAGAGTTTCGCGACGATCGTCATGACTTTATCACTTCAAACGTCCAAGAATGTACCTGATCTACAAATGCAACTGCCATGGTCCCGGGCATGCAGTTCAGCAAGGTCTCAGACAAGTTAGGCAACGTCTCAAATTATTACCAAGAGAAAGTTCAGCTCCTTAAGTACTATATATTAGTATTCAAAAATCCCCCCCCCCCCTCCTCAAAAAAAAAAAAAAAAATTCACTATTTCTAACCTATACCTACTCTACTGCCTAACCACCCTAATCTTAGGGTAGTAAACTTGATAGTTAATAAAAAGTAATAGACAGAGCAGTTAAGACCTTGCTGAGGTTTTTACTAGATCTAGGTAGTAGCTTAAAACGTTAATAAGTTCTTGAGACGTCCTAGACTACTAGATAACCGAGATCTTGTTGAACTGCAACCCACATGGTCCTCATGCTAAAATATTTCTGCAAGATGGACAACAATGTTGACCCCACGCAAGCTCTATCGAGGTCCTCAATTGAAGGCAAACGGCACGATTGGTAGAACGTCAAACCGAAGCACATAATATTCGGAACAAACTATTACAGTGACTGGAGTTATAAGACATAGAGGCCTTTCCGACAAGCATCCCATTGCAACTCGATAATCATTTCACAGCCCCATAACAGCGCCATAGGGGGTATCTGTATGCCGCTTACTTCGTTATTGCATTCTGGCTGTAGCCAAGATACATACATATCGATGCAGCAATTATATATGCTGAGTAGTTCCTAGAAACACATTTGCAAATATCAAATAGCCCTCCATGTTGTCTAACAAAGCATCCAAGGTAACGAAAAGGAAGTTGGAGAAGTAATAGCCCAGGCCGGGATCCCGCCTTCTTCTATCTGCGTCACGAGCAAGCTATGGAACACGGACCACTGGCCATCATCCATTCCCCCTGCTTCGAAAAAGATGCTATGAGAATTTGGACTATCTTGACCCATACCTGATACATTAGCCTGTTCTTTTTCAGTTGGGAAAAGGCCGTGAAATTAAACAAAATAAAGTAGATATTCTTAAAACATGGTGGGCCATGGAAGAGCTTATCTGAGACGGACTTGTTTAATAGATTAGGATACTAGATTTTTAACTAACCTTAAGTGGAAAAGCTCCTAAGAGGTGCTTAAATACATTAACAGCCTGCCTAGCTCTAGGTTAATTCATCAATGTGCTGTACTCTGGAAATATTCCAGGCTAATTAGCTCTCCGTGGCTCTGGTCGCAAGATTATGTTCATCTTGGATGTTAGGGTTAGGCCTTTACTATGGGTGCTTTATCCAATTCTCTGTAAGTTAGCTGAGCACCTTCCATAGGTTAAAAAGCTGAATAGGCAAAACTGGCAGATGAGAATCTGTACTGTAACACAGCATCAGGTGACAGAAAAGGTATTGTTATAATATACTGAATAGGTGTTTTATAGTGGCCAAGACTGATTTCAGTTTGACCAGGTGCAATCTAGTAACTATCCTTAGTGGACTCAAGAGACAGTTATAGGATGGGGATAATACCCTATAGTGTGGCAAAAGAAGCCCTGACTATGATCAAGATGGGTAAATAAGACCACATTGCGTCTGCTGTAAAGGACTGTTTCGCGTGTCTTCCATATACTGCCCAAAGAGGAATTTGTTCGCAGGGGTAGCCAAGGAGCTCTACTCAGGAACAGCCAACCCTCAGGAACTACTGTAAGAAAAGTAGCAATTCACGTAGTGACCGATAATTTGCCCAGCCTTCCAAAAGGGAGATAAAAGGACTTTGGGGCCATTATTAAGCATCTTCTTGTATGCTGAAGCCTTTTTATGCTGCCGCCGCACTGTATGTGGAGTAGAAAATGCAGACCTGGGAGATGATAACAAGCATCATGTCAGTGACAACACGGGAACACTGTCTCCGGCAGCTAGTCCCCTGAAGAGCACTTCATTGCCGGACGAGGAAATAGCGCAGGAACAGACACTGGCAGTCGAACAAGACTACAGCAGTGGACAGCATCAATGCCAGGATGCGGTACCTACTTTGCTTGTTCCCGCCTGATACAGGTTCAAGGTAGGTTACTTGAACAGCTCGTCTACGAGCATTCTCCACAGAGGGAGACACTATGGCCCCCGCGGTTGGGCATTTACTCTCCTGACAATCGCAGTGGTTTTGTTGCCATTGATCCCAATTGGCGTGATGTCGAAATTTTGATCAGGGAAACATTACTCTCGCCCAGAGAGCGTGGCTGATGGCTTGGTATGCTGTAGGGACTATGTTTCCGCTCCTTATCACACAGACACTTTAGTGTAGGCCGGTTATTTTGACAATTGTCGAGTGTTGACGGACAAAAGATATACCAGCGGTGAGCGAGCCGCTATTTTGTTCGCTAGGTCAGGCTCTACCTTATTCATTATTACTTTTCTGTTCACTCTGGCTATTGGGGGCCTTGCTGACGTTGGACAGTTGTTATCTGAGTATTGGCCTTGTACAGGGCTTTGAGTTCTGATTMTGATCATCTTAACCTCATAATGACAGAATAACTTTGTCCTAGCCCCACAGCTTCCTGCGTAAATTCCTATCTTATCCTCAACCCTAGTAAACTGGTGAAATAGCTACCTGATTACGTCGGGTGTTTTATATCGGTTGCGCCGTGACAAATTTATGCATGATAGGGCATATTAGCTATCCCTGGGACCATATCTAGGAGGGCTGCTTTTTGTTTGTCCTCTTTAAATGACAAACATAGCTAAATGCTCGCTGTACTAATCCATTCGGCATCTGGGGCCGGTCAACTAGAGAAATTACTTCCGCCTGCCACCCTGCTTTTATTTAGGTATACCCTTCACTTTCCGCCATAATGTCACTAGCCATATTCATTTTACAAGGCCTTTAGTGAATCTGGCAAGCAGCCTCACAATCAATGGCTCCATTACCCACCACATTTCCGAGGGATCCCATCATGGCCTATTGGAATAAGCCTTTGTCAGTCATGGTTCGCTTTATTCAGACCAGACCTGTACGATATTCAGGCAAAACTGGATTATGGATTCCTTTGCACTTACCATCCCCAATTGCATCTCTGCCGCTTCCTTTGCCGCTGTAGTTGCTGCACTCGCTGCTGCAAACATTTCGTCCAACAGTGAGCAACAGATCTCCTGCAAGCTCTGAGGGTCGGGATTGGCCACAGGGAGGGCATAGGCGGTTTGGAGTGCAAGGAAGCAGAAGATAATAGTTTTGCTGAGCTGCATGGTGGAATATTATCTGTGTGGATTAAACTTCTTGTTTAACTTTGTCTTGGGAGGGAGCTGTGGTGTCTTGGAGAGGAGATAGTGATGAATTCTAGACATAGGAAGGGAGAGTCAGGGCTTTTTATACCTTGTGATCTTCTCCTTTAAGGAAAGGATTCCTTAGCATATTTCCGGGCAAGGCTTCTGCGCGTACAATCAGGATTTGTAATTCTGATTAGTTTACCTCTATATATTAAGGACTTTCCTCATATTACAGTGTCTTGAAATTGGGCGGAATCTAAGTTATTTTGTCCTGCCATATCTGAGTACAATGTTGGTACTACTATTTAAAGAATGTAGCTTCAAGGGGATGACTGAGGCAGGACGTAGATTAAGGGAAGGTAGGTGAGGTACTAGAATAGTTAGTACGCCACGGCCGGCCATCGCTTGTCTACGATAGGAGATAAATATAGCATTTTACAGGGAGCAATATCATCCCAGGATCTCCAAACACCCAAGCAGCCTGCAAACAAGACGGTTGTGGTATACTGTGAAATGCTCCGCAAGCTGGCTAAGCCTCAGACTAAGTATAATCATGTTCCCAGGAAAACGACTAATAATAGCGCGTCTCTAAACTTTGGGTAGGGAGGTTAACAACAGAGTGGCTGTGCTACTAGGGGTTATCTTAGCGGGGGTTAGTTATCGCGCAAGTCAGCATAGGGAATCATCTAAAAGAAGCTTCAATGCTCTATATGAAAGGCAGATTAACAGCTTGACTGCGAGGACAATTCAGTATTATTTTGGTAAAATCATCGCCACGTACTCCATCCTTCTCAATGACAGTTTGCTGTCTCCCCAGCATCCTTAGCATCAGCTCCACCGTCGCTCTCAACTCCGTCGTCTCCACGGTTGTTTCCGGCCTACATCTCTCCTACAATGTGCCTTGAATTCCTTGGCTTTCAACAAAAAAGGTGTGAGTTAATTTTTGTTCCCAATAGCCATAATCTCAGCGTCATGGCCTCAAACCCGCGGATCAAGGCTCGATGAAAACTTTGTGCATCTTGATATTGTACTCATCCAGTGTATACCAAAAGAATCTCCCAGAACCAAGCCTGTCATCAGCCCAGAAGTCAGCAATACAGTCGCCGAGAAGTTCTTCCCATGGAAGTTTCATGCCAAGAGCCTTGGCCATCACGTCGCAGTGGACTAGCAGTCGCCAACAATATGTGAGGTACTGAGCCAATTCTTTGCGATTTGATGGGTGGAACGGATCATGTGGCTCGTTCAATCGTCCTACCGGCTCATACCCAGCGAGCTCCATGACGTTCAACACCAGCTCCGCCGGCAGACCTTTCCGAAACAAGTAATCCTGAACAAGTGCCACGGCGGACAAGCCTGGCTGATGACCTGCAAATGTTTCATTCTCCAGGCTGAGGAACTCGTCGATGGGCACCTTCCCATAATGGTCGGCCCGACGAGAATAATGCCATCTATCATCCTGAAGCTTCCTATCCGCCCATCGTAGCCAGTGTGTGCTTCTGACCTCCGGATAACAGTATTCGCCTCCAAATTGGCTGTTGCCTATCCCGAAGAATTGTCGATGCGGGTATGTGCTCACTTCTGATGTCTGCCCAGTGCCCGTGCATGTTCTCAGTGTGTACTGGTAGAATTTGCTGTTGCGGTAGTCCATCGCCGCGGTTCTGCCGGAAGCGTCGTCCCATATCTCTGGAAAGCAGTAGATCGTGTTCAGACATATGTAGGCCCTGAGGGCCTTGATACATACTTGGTCCCATCCGAGGACAGGGTGCTGTGTTAGTCAGTATGTAGACTCGACATTGCCAGGACATTTTAACAAAATACGAATACATAATGACCGGAATTTGTCMCAACCAAGCACATAGAACTCACTCACATTACACTGGCATTCACTGTCACGCCACCATCGCTTTAGATTCACTCCAGGCAGAGCACACACGCGCAGAATAGTGTCTATCTCCCCATGCAGAAGTAAAGTTTTCACCACTTCGACGTTGAAGAACGCTTCACGGTTCTCATTCCAGAACTGGTAGCAAGGGCTGGAACGAGAGAATCGGAGAAATGCGGACGCCTTTCTCTCTTCGTCTGGGATGGGGATGCATTGACACACTTCTCTGTATCGGTCTACTTCGCAGATTCCACTAGGGCATCTGTGATTGAGGCCATAGCCATAGCTACGCCATCTGCGGACGGTAGGGGAAATTTTCTGAACGGTGGCTGAGTCGAGAATAAGTTCTGTCGGATCGGCTGGTTTGTATACTGAGGGGAATTTCTTGCGCTCGCATACTGAATGCTCGTCGATGGTTCGAATAAACGCTTTGACAAAGTAGGTGAGCTCTTTGCCCTGATTAGGTTTCATGGTAGGGCGGAGATTTGTGACGCTTTGGTCACCACAAGAGATTGTGCGCCAGTGGAGGTTCGAGGCCAGAAGACTCCATGGGATATTGTGTGCTTGGTGTGCCATCTTATGAAATGTTACTGCAATCAATCCAAGCGATGTCAGATTGAAGACTTTGCGCAGTCAGTACCTGCGGGGTCAGACTCTAGGTCACCTCACTAGTCGGGCCTTAGCGCAGCTTACCAGCTGGCTTCTGGGTGACAGCTGACAACAGCTCAGCAGTACCTAGACTACTATATACTACTAGACTGGTGGTGGATTGGATATGGATTGATCCGCATGATGTTTGATCCAACCCATGCGGATTATGGGTTGATCCACCACCTATCTAACCCACCCTCATATCCATGCGGGTTGGACTGCGGATAATGGATATATCCATACTAGTGATACTACCTAGTCAGGTGACCTCTAGTATTTAGATTACTACCTATTTGTCTAGTATTCTAGCCACGTCACTAGGATATCTATATATTTTATTTAATAATATAATAACTAAATATATAAATATTATATATTACCTATTATATAAGGTAAAATAGCCTTATATAGGGGGTAGGGGTGCCCCCTAAGCTTAGTATAAAAAGTGGTGCAGAGATATATATATTTTACCAACACATTCTAATCACCATCATCTAAAATATAAAATCAAGCATAACTCTAGTTTTTCTTAGTAAACCTAACATTTTCTTTTATATATAGATAGATATAATCATTCTCTATCTATTTATATAAAAATATATCCTTATCTAGGCCTAGGTTAGGCTAGATAAGCTTATTAGCTCTTAGAGGCCTTTAGTCACATCATCACATGCACCCAATGGTTTAACCCATATCCACATGGGTTGGATCAGGCCTACCTAGATCCAACCCAAACTGCGGATTGGGTGGGTTGGATATGGATTTGCGGATTGGGTCAGCCAGTCTATGTACTACTACTTTACGCATACACGTACTCTTCATATCCCTACCTAGTGCTTTACGAGCGTACAAAACTTAGTGTCATAGAGCACCATTCTAACACCTGCTGTTTCATCCCTCTTCGAAAGTTGCAGTATGCGTCTCCCTCATGCCAAGTTTGCCCTGTCTCTCATATTCCATGGATGCGACCACAGAAATGTTGCCTAATATTATTCCGCTTCTTATTGGGCGCTTCGAACATAGGACGCGACAGGGATTCTCGGTATCGTTTAGTAGTCGCCAGCCATAGCCAAATCGTTCAAGGTTGATATAGAGAAATCGAAGAGTCACACAAACAGGATGAAAGTCCATCTAAATAGATTAATATAAACTAGGATGTGCTTTTCGCCTTTTGTAACCCCATTCCGGAAAGCAGAGCAACCCAGTCGCTATTCGCACTCCAGCGGAACTTCTAAATCACATTTGTCTGAGTATGAGAATCCTCTTCCTGCTTGTCTCTTCCATCATAGTTTGTATCCTCGGATCTAAGTATCGGAGAAATCGCAGAGAAAACCAGGCAAAGGAAGGGAATTATTATAGCTCTCACGACTACTCTCCTTCCTCGGTTCCGGCACGGCCTCCCCATACAGAGTTATGAGTGCATTTTCCGTCGCTCAACTCGCCATCTACTCGGCTCTCGTATGTCCAGCATTGTATCTGGCACTGTGTCATCGTCGACGGGGGTTGTTAGGCTGGGGCTACCTGCTGGCGTTTTGTATACTGCGGATCACAGGCGGTGCCCTCTCGCTTCACAGTAGCGGCTCTGGGGCAAAGATTATTTCAAGTGTTGGAATCTCGCCCATGATGCTTGCTCTAGAAGGAATACTACATGAAGCGTGCGTTATCATCTTACTAGAACATCATGGCATTACTAATTTACCTGTACAGAAGGGCGTACCGCAGTCGAAACCTGAACAAACGTTTAGAATACGCGTTTATGGCTGTCGTCCATACGGTCGTTGCGACTGGAGTTGCCATGGTTGGCACAGGAGCCGGCGGTCTGGCAGGCAACCACCCAAAAGCGAGCGATCAGACAAATATTGAGGTTGGAATGGTCTTGCTCGAGGCATGTTGGGCAGTGTTGACCATCTCGGCTCTGTGGACATTGAAGGATTTCGGTGAGAAGACTGTTCCGGGGGTGAAGGAAGGCAAAATGGTAGCTTTTATCCTAACACGAGAGGATTCTGCGAGCCAGTGTGCGATTACCAGTGCTAATTCCCTGAATTCTAGCTCCTCCACGGCGTGCTCCTGGCGACGGTGTTTGTCGGTATCCGGGTTTTGTATGGACTGATTGCGGAGTCAACCCAGAATCAAAACCTGAATCCAGTGTCAGGCTCCTTAGCCATTCGTACTGTCCTAAGTCTTCTACCTGAGCTCGTCGCGACCTTGATCTTGCTATTCGTTGGCTTTCGTGCACGACATGTCGGTGAACATAATCGCCAAACAGTGCGGACTGGGGAGACATAAACAGAAGAACCCTGGATCGGATTGGGGGAAGAGAGACGAGAAGATGCCGAGCAACATGTTAGTTGATGCAGAATGTGGCCGCTCTAAGTGGAAGGACGACTCCGTTTTGCTTGCTTTTCTTTTTGCTTACTGGGTTGATTTTGTTGAGACTTGCTCGGCACTATGATCACTTTCAGTTAAGTGTCAAACCGATTGTACCCATCCATGTTTGTGGAGGATAGTCTCCACCGATTTGACTCATACTCTTATGAAGCCGAAGACGTAAAAGGTGCAAGTTGCAAAGAGACGATACGAGAGGCAACTATCCAGCGTAGGTAAGGATGTAATAGTAAGAGCACAATTACCAGCGTACCAGGCCCAATCGGGGAAATACTACCTTAGTATTCGGTGCTTACACCGCCTGCAAGCCGAGGCGGGGTGTGAGGAATAAATTCGGGCAGTGACATTCTTTGTCTTCTCACTCCTGTTTCCTCTAAATAACGTGCGATACGATACCAAGTCAGTCTAGGAGCCATGACTGTTTATGCTGTACCTAATAATCCCAGCAATTTACCCTGGCAGAGTGGCTCGCACTCCCCAGAACAGGGTGGATTGGCCACCGCACAAACACTTAGGGAAGCGCCAACGACTGACACCCCTCAAAATCAACGAAAGTCAGCCAGTAACCCGTGCAAGAAGATTGGTCCACGACTGGCTCACCGAAAATCGCGAAACGGATGCCAGCGATGTCGCGCTCGTAGAGTTAAGGTATGTTGAACACTTTGTATGTTCGCACCCGTCGGACTGACACCGCAAAGTGTGATGAAGCGCGTCCAGTATGCCGAGACTGTCATAGACATGGGGTCACCTGTCTTTATGACAGGCCGGAAGGTCAAGGTCCTCGCGCTCAAACCGAACCGCAACGCAGCTCCCCTCCCCCTGCCCGGTCGAAGATAGCGTTGGCTGGCAGTCACAAAGCTGCCACGGCTGGTGCGGCCACAGCATCATGCAGTTGCCTACAGTGGAAAGGTGGATATCAAGCGTACACGGAGCTCCGTCTTCTGCATCATTTCACCGTCGCAACTAGCCTCACCTTCCCTGGAGCCCATCTTCAGAGAGTTAAAGACTGCTGGTCAATCGAGGTTCCCAAACTGGCCTTTGTCTATAAACCGCTCCTGTATGCGATTTTTGCGATTTCCGCCCTGCATCTTTACAAGGTCGAATCAAATGAGATGGACTTGATCTGGATGCGGGCAGTCTATCTAGAGCGGGCTTTGCAGGACCACAGAGTGTGCGTGGGAAATATAGATGCAATGGTTGCTGATGCAGCGTGCTTTACATGCATTCTCTTACTTATCGAGGCATTTGCGTCATTACAGGATCGACCTCTTGACCCATACAGACCACCGATGGAATGGATGCAATTGGTCAGAGGCTCGGTATCAGTATTCCATGCTGCTCTTAGCGCCATTCAGGAGAGCAAGTCGGCTAAAATCTTTTCTATCATTCAATCATCGCCTTCATTGACGGACCCAAACTTTATTGTCGGCACATATGACTGCGGCCATTTCTCGTATTTGTTGTCATCGAAAGGATTTGCTGAGGGGAATGACGGACAATTACGAACCCCACAACTGGAGGTGTACGGGTCGACAGTTGCTTACATTAATTCCGTTTGGCTCGCCATAGAAGCACGGGAGCACCCGGCAATGATATGTCGACGCCTTATGGTGTTTCCTTTGATTGTTTCTCATGAATTCCTCAGGTTACTTGAGGAGATGGAGGCACGCGCTCTGGTAATTCTAGCTCATTTCTTTGCGCTTTCGGCTACGTTGGACAATATCTGGTGGGTCGGTCACAGTGCACACAGGGAAGTTCTCGCCATTGAAAAAGTGGTCAATGTCCGATGGGCGACCTCAATGTCATGGCCCCTCACTACAGTCGCATCACATTGCAGAATATGTGCACAAAGCTAATTAGGGACCCGCTCGATCACGTCCGCAATGCCCCCAATACGGGTATCTTCAAAGGCACTAATGGCCGGCTCTGCTTGAAGCTCTCACTCGCCCGTCATATATACGCGGCAAATGTGCCGAGCTTGATACCAACATCACTATTGTCTGGCTTGCCCCAAATCTCGGCCAAGGAGTCGCGACCTCTGTGACAAGGCCCTGGGACACTTTCATGGTCGAGGACATGTCCTAGATACCATTGACAAACGCCTCTGTCTTTTGCAATTGCTCTTTATCCCACCGCAGGGAAGTCAGAATTGAGCCTCTCCTTGTCGGCCGCATATTTGAACTACTTCAGCCCTCAAAAACAGCAGAGAAAGAAAACACCTATCGAGTCCAGAATACGCAGCCTGCCTCATATGAGAGCCACTTTAGAATACTCTGCAGACTACATCATCTTATCACAGGCGTCCAGGGCAAATGATCACCACCTTTCACTAAGCATTACTCTGGTCCTGCCATCAAAACTATTATTAGGCCATCACTGCCTCTGGTATACAAGCCGGTAAGAATGACCGAGATGGACTGGATTGCATTAGGACGTTGAGTACATACCAGACGAGAAGAGATAATATATTGAAATGCATCCACAACGTTAGATCCATCAACTGGCCTGTGCAAGAATCGCCCCTGAATGCGTCTTTTGCGCCCTCCTCTGATATTCAATCCTTCCCAATCCCGATACAATGATAGCGTCGAGTACATGCAGTGGTGGCTCTCCCCAGATTGTTAACGTACCCAGCTTCTTGAGCGACCACGAGGCATTATCAAACGTTGCCAGGGTCTGGTCCCTCTGATCGACAAGCTTGAGGTTACTTGTCATTGCGCCGTCTCGTTTCCAGGTCCACTGCGTATTGGCAAAAAACACCTCGTAGGAGCTAGACAAGAATCCACATTTCTTCATGGCAATGTACTGCKCCGTGAGGGAAACTTCGATCTCGGATTTGAAATGATGGAACGATGCATGGCCGATGATTTGCTCGGGAATTCCAGGTGCTGGGCGGGATATGGTCATGTGTGGCTTAGAACTGGAACKGTAGACATTGTAAAGGCGAGTTTGCTTGTCAGAGTCGAGAATCTCTAAGCGTCCATGGTTGGATCGGTGGTAGATATGTAGAGGCCGTGGGCCAACGGGCTGGTCTTGCATGATGAGTGTCTTGTATAGGCGAGGCAGTAGCGACAAGGCAGTTGATCGAATGGCCAGTCCAAGGTTTTAACACATCGCATCTACTTGGTGTGAATGAAGAGGAGATCGAGCTTTCAGCCGAAGAACTCCAGCCCGTGTTGATTAAATATGCCATGGTATGCCCGCCATATCATCCCTACTGGAAGATCACCAGTCTTGGCATGCACAAAAATGCCCCGAAACGGCAAGTGCTTGGCCTCATCAGGCCCAATTTTTAAGCTTTTCCGAGAACGGGAACTAAATTTACTGAAGGGTCAACGGATTGACCGTACTGTCTGTTTATTGCCTTGGCGGGCATGGTTATTATACGTCAGCCGTCTCGGAAGGAGATGTCCCTATGAGAAACGAAATAGGTGATAATTGGTGATGCATACCTGATGTCTGATAGGTGCTCTGTCGATGCTTGAATCATGGTGGGGCAATTGTGGCTGAGTGATGGATGACCAGTTAATTGTTATGATGGAGTCTGGACGGGGTGTCGTTGTGAGGTCCGCGGCCCTTTAGGCTGCTTCGATAATATGCGCCTGAGATGTGCATAGATGCGATTCGCGTCATTCAGCTGCCAACCGGGTCCAAGCGCGCATCCAGCCGGATACCGTAGGACGCAAGGACATCTCGGGCTCGGCCCTCGGCCTCGGGGACGGGCTTGCTCGATATCCGAAGCTGGGATATATTGCTCGCTCGCTCCGTACAGTTCTCTCGCCTCCCCTCTTCTCACTACTACTGCTCCCCCCTACTCCAGGAAAATCCTTTGCAACAGCGTTACAGGAAGAGCTCAAATGCATTCCCCTTACACCTACTGCAACCCAGCGCCCTCTTTCGCCGGTCGAGGCCGTCGGTTTTATCGCCAGAACTACGTCCGCGGCCTCAACCCTCGCGCTGGCGGCATAGGGGGTCTGGTCAAAGTCGCCCTTGTCGGAACGGCCACTTACTTTGTCTGCAAAAAGATCTACCAGTAAGTCTCTGTTTGCTTTCCTCAGTGATGTCCGCCTTGTTGAACTTGGCTCTGACTGCTGTTTGCTTCATAATAGTGCTGGTGCCCACAGCAATAATAATGGGCGGCCTTCGCAATAACCGCCAACCAATCCAATTACCGGGGCCGGAGGATTGGGATTCCCAGATGATGCATTCGCAGAGATAAGGTGTCTGATGTTTGCGGGCTTTGTTCTCTTCAACGGGTTTTGCCTATGTTAAAAATAGTCTATTGGGGGGGGTGGGGGGGTTTCTCATTGATAGTCTCTTGCTATCATGCGGTTTGGATGAGATTCCTTGCGAATACTAAGAGAAAATTACGTTCTTACCCCTAAAAGTGCTTTAGGCTCACAGTAGTAAGATCCCATCGGAAACGGACGGACTACCCAGAGAACTATAGAGAATTCTCAAACTGAGAGCCTTAGCGACTATGATGGTCAGACCTTGGTCAAATTTCTTTCCTTCTKATTCATATCTTAACATCCACATATCTGAATTCGATTTCTGGCCCATCCTGCAGCGAATGGAGACTGTACCGTACAAAGACAGCCATCAAGGTCAACTTGAACAACACATCCGCTAAATGCTTCCCAAGACATCGTCCACTCGCCGCCCCAACACCAAACCGCATAAACCCGTATCGAGGCTTCGAGGGCGGAATATCCCGGAACCGTTCTGGGCGATAAGTGTCGCCGTCTTTACCCCAGGTAGCTGGGTCCGCGTTCAGGCGTTTGGCGTCTATCACGACGGGGCATCTTGCGGGAACGCGGTAACCCCCAATCTCTTTAGGGACAGCCGTGCACTCGGGGAGAGAGAATGCTGCGACATAGTAATTAGATTAGAAAGTTGTATTCATTGACAATGAAAATGAGAGGAAATAGACTGACCGAAAGCCGGCGACAAGCGCATAGCCTCCATCAAGGCGTAGTTTAGAAGTGTATCTTGTTTTGAGAGATATTTTCCGGTGTGGATATTAGTATTTCTGTTAGTATCGGTGTCCGGGGTGTGGTTGCAACTCTGAATATGCGCTTCAATTTCCCCTCGAAGCTTCTGTTGAAAAGCCGTGTTGACAGCTAGATGCTCGAACAGAGTGTTGAGGACCGCGGAGCTGACGTCGACGTTGGCGAAGAGAATCTCGTCTAGGGTGTGTAGGAACTGGGCGAATCAGCGCGTCAATCGTATATCAAGGGATGGGCACCTCCTGAGGATGGATCGTACGCACCTCCTCATGTTTCAAATCACCCTTTTCAACACCGCGATATATCCTCTCGGCAGGACAGACCTGCGATGCCTCTCGAGCAGACTGAATGATCCCAAGATTGAACTCCCTCCACCTAAAACGGAATTCTTCCATTCGTTTGGCGGCTTTACGGTCAAACCAACAGCCTAGCCTTGTCGCCAGTCGTTTGTTGGCGATCACATCATGCAGGATGACTTCGTGGAGGACATTTAGTTCCAATAAGGCAGATAAACGCTATTAGCAGCCAAGCCAGCCATCAGCCAAAGGCCCATAGAATGTGAAGGTGACGCTAAAACGAGAGAGAGGGAGGATGTAGGTACGCTACCTCCTCATCAAAAACCTCCCCATACACAAACTCCGCCGCAAGCCGGAGCGGCAAAAACCGACAGGGCTTCCTGATCTCCAGTGCAAACCCTTTCTCCGTTCCTGTTCCTTGCAGTGGTAGATTATCAAGCCATCGGTTGATGGTCTCGCTGAGTTGCGGGATCGCTTGTCGAGCGGTTTGAAACGAGAACTCGGGGTCGAAGTAGCGACGGATCATCGACCATCTTTCCCCTGCTATTGCTCCGACTGCATGCCCGAGAATACTGGAATTATTCCACGGCGGAACCCATGAGTGTAAGGTGCGAAGGGGACTTGGAGAGTGGTGACTTACCCGCTAAAGTACATTCCCATGTTCAGATATGGTGGCTTAGGATGATCTGAGAGACCTGTATTAGTACCCTACCCGATCTAAGGGAGCTGTCTGGGGCTTCAGGGTGCCAGCGGAGGCATACGCTTAGTATCGCCCTTGTAGAAGTCATAGATGTGCTCTGGCTTGGTCACCACCAGCTCTCTTGCTCGGCCATTGCGGATGATGTACGGCTCGCCTCCGGCGAGAGCCTTGCCCTGATCGGAGAGCTGCTGGCTGATGGATATTTCTTAGCTGGGTCCTCCCATTTGTTGGGCGAGGTCGACCGCGAGATCGGATAGGGTCTTACCTGAAAGCGAACTTTGACACGCGGGCGTCTCCAGGAAGCTCGCAGATTTGCCTGCCGTGTTGGTTGGTGATTCTGTTTGCTCGGTGCCCTGCGCGAATTTTGAGTACGAGCAGGACAAATAATATAAAGACAAACAACTTGAGGACCTGAGCACTGGCCGTCAGCCTCTGGTTCTCTAGATCGGATACCTGCGTCAGAGTATTGACGAAACTCATTTTGCAAAGGAAGGCACGCAGATAGGTACATGTCTAGCGATAGAAAACTCCAGCCGGGAATGCTTATACCTAAAGGTGCTCAGCCGGCAGGGTTGATCTTGGATGTAACTGCGGATCCCCGCAATAAACCGAATCGTCCACCATTTTCCGGGCCATAGTGGACATGTGCAGGGAAGGGTGAGATGGACTCGGGAAATTGAAAGCCTAGTGTTGGGGGCGATGAGCAATTTTCCGAGTTTCCCGCCCCGAGAGCGCAGAGTCGGACTAGGTGTTGGTATACTAAGGCAAGCTGGAGGCAGCTTTATCAGCCTCCAGCTTCAGTGGGACTCCTCTATACTTATGAAACTTGCTTACTTTTACTTCAGATTCGGGCCACAATGAATCCTTCCAAGCAACAAACCGCCCTAAAAATCACCCCAGAAGGACGCATTGCCGCAGTCCCATCCTCATTCCCATCCCTCCAAAATGACGAACTGCTCGTCCGCGTCATAAGCATCGCGTTGAACCCCTTCGACGCCAAATCTGCCGAATTGTCACCCACCGTCGGCGCGACTCTGGGCTGCGATTTCGCAGGCGATGTTGTCGCAGCAGGCTCCGACACCAACAAACTCAACTTCAGAATCGGCGACCGAGTTTGCGGCTGCGTCTTCGGCAATAATCCAAATCGATTGGATAATGGCGCATTTGCAGAGTACGTTGCTGTCTCGGCGGATCTACTGTTTAGGGTTCCTGAGAATATGAGCTACAATGAAGCTGCGACGTTGGGCGTAGGGCTGGTGACTGTAGGGATGTCGCTATATCACTGTTTAAAATTACCCATGGAGGCTGAGCCGGCTGGCAAGTCGCCGTATGTTCTGGTGTACGGGGGCTCAACAGCGACTGGGACGCTTGCGATCCAGATACTTACACGGTAGGCAGCCCAATATGATGATCGTGATATCTGCAAGCACGGGAGAAAGAGGTAAAAAGACCATTCGAACATTACTAACCCATCTCCACTGCAGCTCTGGCTACACTCCGATAACAACCTGTTCCCCCCATAACTTTAACCTGGTCAAATCCCTCGGCGCAATCGCAGCCTTCGACTACCGCTCCCCAACCTGCGGGCGTCAAATCAGAGATTACTCTTCCGGCACCCTCTGCTACGCTCTCGACTGCATAACAGATACACGGTCGATGTCCGTCTGCTATGAGGCCATCGGGCCCTCCGGCGGTCGGTACCTAAGTCTCGATCCGTTCCCCATCCGGGGGCATACGCGGCGAAGTGTGAAGCCGAACTGGGTGCTTAGTCTGACGATGTACAACCAGCCGATTCCGTGGAAGAGGCCGTTTAAGAGGGATGCCTGCCCGCAAGACCGGGAGTTTGCGAAGAGGTGGTTCCAGATCGCTCAGAAGATTATTGATGCGGGTGGGATTAGGCCGCATATGTCCGAAGTGAGGGTTGGCGGATGGAATGCTGTACCGGAGGGTTTGGCTCTGCTGCAGAGAGGAGAGGTTTCGGGAAAGAAACTTGTGTATGAGGTGGCGAGACATTAGGGTGGAAGAGCTATGCTATGTTATTTGATTACGGAGTGTGACTTTGATTAGATTGATTATAGCAATTCATGTCTTACCTCGAATTGGTAGAAACACCATGATTATCTATGCTCTTCATGGAGGTATGAATGATTAGGTGGATGTTCTACAACACCAGCGTAGCGAGCGGAGGTATACCCTCGTCTACGTCCCGGTATACATGGTATGCAGTATACCTACAGAGCACTCTGAGCCATCAAAAGGCCTACAACTAGGATAAGCCATGATGTGTCTGAATGTCCAATGAGCGTATTTCCCGAGCATAGCGGATGAAGCGTCCATACTCCAAAACCCGAGGGCAAACGGGGCAGTGTGCGTGAATATTCCGAGCGGAGAATAGCGGACGGACGGCAGCTGTCTTCCTAAGCACTGAATTTAACAAGAAAAATGCACAGAACCATTTAAGCCAGTCATGGCAGGGTCGGCTCTCTGATAGAGCATTATCCCAATACTACTCCATCCACCAGAAAGAAACATGCCTACCGAAACCCACGATCCAGGGACCGTCCTCATCGTGGGCGGCGGCCCCGTCGGCCTCATCACGGCCACGACACTAGCCAAGTACGGCGTGCGCAGTGTGATTCTCGAGCGCAACCTGGCGACAACCAAGTGGCCGAAGATGGACCTCACGAATGCTCGCTCGATGGAAATATACCAGAGACTAGGGATTGCAGAGGCATTGCGAAAGGTCGCCGTGCCCTCCCATTGCCCGTTTACATGTCTCTTTTCGAGCGGTCTGCATGTCGAGAAAGCAATCACCGCATGGGATCTGCCGAGTCCTGACGAGTACCAGAGAAGGAGTAGGGAGCAGAATGATGGGAGCATGCCCTCGGAACCATGGTTGCGCGTTTCGCAGGAGATCTTTGAGGCGTGGCTTAAGGGGCTTGGGATGGAAAATCCCCTTATCGATTTCCGTGCTGGGTGGAAGGTTATTGGGGCGCGTGAACTTGACCATGGAGCGCAAGTGGATGCCATCCATCCGGAGACGGGTGAAGAGTGGAAAGTCAGCGCGGACTTCGTAGTCGGATGCGATGGCGCCCACAGTGCTATACGCAAGAGTCTGGATATTCCCTTAGATGGGAGCCCGATGTAAGTACTCACCTTCCTACCGATTCGGCGCGCAAGTGAGGAAAGACAGATCACTGACTAAAGGTTAGCCATGGGTACGCGGTCCTCGTGCATTTCAAATCAAGGGATCTCTCACGCATCCAAAAGCAAGGCCAATTCTGGCACTTGTTTTTACCCAATGCTGCTAGTGATGGCGGGTCCTTCAAGGGGGCCGTCATCGCACAGGACGAAGTCGACACCTGGACCGTCCATCGTTTCATGCTGCCCGACGTGGATCATTCTCAGCTCTCGTCGGAGGAGATCGTCTATGACCTTCTGGGTGGGATGAGTGGCCGACCGTTCCCGATAAAGATTGACGAGGTCCTTGTTCGCTCGACGTGGACGCCGAGCGTCGCACTTGCGCGTTCTTACGCAGGGCCTAAGCACCGTATATTCATTGCGGGAGACGCATGCCACCAGACTGTGCCAACGGGCGGCTACGGAATGAACACTGGGATTGCAGATGGTTACGACATCGGCTGGAAGCTGGCGGCCGTGATACAAGGATGGGCTGGGCCCGCGACGCTTCTCTCCTATGAACAAGAGCGCCGGCCTGTGGGAGAATTGGCACTGCAGTGGTCAAAGGTACACATGGGTAACTTGATGAAGATGTCGGCTGAACTGGGTCTCGATGCCGACGTGATCGAGTCAGACAGCGAGGCCGGTGCTGAAATGCGAGCAGCCATGCATTCCTATCTCCAAACCCACGACGGCCATAACCAGAGTATCGGGGTGGAGATGGGATATCGCTATGTTTCTGGTCTTTGTGTTCCTAGTACTCTTGACGCAGAGCTTTGCCCGCCAGAGTTTGATCCCAGAAAGTACACACCAAGCACCATGCCGGGTTATCGAGCTCCCCTTGTGTATTTGACGACCGGAACGCCTGTGTCTCGTCTATTCGGCAACGGCTTCACGCTTGTTGCGTTTCCAGAGTGTGAAGAATTGGCCACGTCGACTGGGCACCTGAGAGAGTCGGCTCGGAAGAGAGCCCTGCCCCTTGACATTGTTGAGTTACCAGGGGAATTGCATGCTCGTGAGGTTTGGGGGTCTCCTCTAGTTCTTGTTCGACCGGACGGGTTCATTTCGTGGCACGGTGACAGTATTCGTAGTCGAGAAGAAGCTGATCGAATTATAGCCCAGGCCAGTGGTTTTGATCCTGATTCCTTGGGTGGTCATGCACAGGTGTAAAAGAGAAGCGCCTCATAGCTTAGTTATTGAGCCTAGTTCCCTTAGTACAAAATTGGGCATCTACATTTCTTGCCACGAACCAAGCACAAGACATTATTATTAGGGCCTTTAGTCTCAAGTTTACTCTCTTATGACACTGTGTTGGTTGAGCGATGGATAAGAGGCTTGCGTCTGAGATTGATGGGCCCTGGAGAGAAATCAAATTCGTTGAACTGTTGGGAGAGCGGCTCGCTAGAAGAGCGCAAATCTCTAGTGCCAAAATTGGAGAATGTTGGCAGTATGTGTGAGGATTGCAGGAAGTTCTTCGGATTGGTTTCTCATTACTTAGTCAAGTCCCATTCAGCAGGCCAGCACTGGTTACCTAGTCAGCTTGCATAGGTAACTTAGGTACTTCTGCTCCTCATATGTTTTCATGAACGCCAAATCTCATTAAAGGCACCGTGTTGCTGCAAAGCTCTGACTACAAAAACCTATCCACAACCGAGTATCTAGAGGTCTTCGCTTCTCTCACTCCTTGAACAGCGCTATTTGCACGCCAGTCTTGTTTGAAGGCCCCACGCGCATCACACCGACATAGGGATTTGGATCTCTAGCTTCAATCCGTTTATAGACGCGCATCAGTCGTGCCAGGAAGTAGCTGGCTTCCGCTGTCACCAGCATCTGAGCTGGACAACGACGGGGCCCTCCACCAAAGGGAACAAAGTTCCAGTAAGGCCGCATATTCTCCCATCGTTCAGGCCGGAAATCCTCTGCATCGGGGCCCCAGATATCGCGGTCACGATGGATGACATTCTTATTGACCTGGACGACATCCCCCTTACGGACAAAAATCCGTTGCTTGCCATCACGACCCCCGCCCACGGGCAATGTCGTATCTCGGATGCATTTCCGCACCTGGGTCACGCCGTTGGGGAAGAGGCGGTGCGCTTTCCTATATGTTAGCCCCGGGTCACGAATAGGGGGAAGAGAAACAAGCCACGCACTCTCATTCAGGACGGCGCTGAGATATTTCATGTTTCGTAGGACCGAGAATGTCAACTCCGCGTCGCCCACCGCAAGCACCTCCTGGCGACATTTCTGGTATACCTCTGGATGACGAGCAAGATTCCATAGGATATGGCTGATGAAGATGGAGGTGGTATCGTTATTTGGCACGAAGATCAAGCAGATCTGGGATCGGAGGGCTTCCTTATCCGGCAGATTGCTTGCCATATACCATAGCAGGTCGTTGCGATCAGCCGCCTCCGGGTCTTTTCCTTGACGCTTATATACGTCGAGCTCATCGTACGTTCGGTCAATATGCGCATCCAGGTATTTGTGGACCACATCCACGGCATCGAGCCATTCCTGGTGGCGGAAGAGCCAGATGTACTTGTACCATTGAAGCCGCAGTCGGAGACCTCGGAGAACGTCCACCATCGCCCAGCATATGGGGGCTCTCTCCGGATATACCAGAGACTCGATTGACTCCCCAAAGAGAGACGCGGTGGTCACATCGAGGAACTTTAGATCGCAGGATCAGACACGTGTCCTCGCAGCAGAAAAGAGAGGGGGCTTACCCAACGCTGAATGAGTGGCTGGATATTGACCGTTTCACCGTCCGCCGGCAGTTGCTCCAAAACTCGATCAACATGAATGGTTAGACGAGTGGTATCTGTGAAGGTCTCCCGCTTGAAGAATGGTTTGATCAAAAATCGGCTGAATTCCCACTCATGTCCGTCGACAGTGTTGACGCCTTTGTCCGCAAATGGAGCGGTCGCCTTGTTATTGCGCCGCATTGGGCCGACGGCGAAGTCCTGCCAGTTGATGGCGGACATGCTCTTCATATTCTCCGGCTCGATAGTGTAGATGAACCGGGTGCCAACAAAGTTCACCAAGAAGGTCTTTGGCAGATTCTCATGGACTTTGTTGAGCCAGACGAGGAAGTAGTCATTGCGCAGTGACTTGGCCATACCAAACACAATATCGACGCCGAAGAACGGGTCGCGATGAGGGTACCGGGGGATCTTGCCACACCCATGCGCCCTGCGTTTCCATTCATAGACGACCCAGTCTACTGCAATCATGCAGCAGGAATAGACCACAAACACAGAGAGAACGAATTTTATTCCATTCAGAAAGTTGGCTTGCTGGAGGAGAGTTGGCAAACTCTCCTTCGAAAGCGTACCGGCCAGACTCATTATTGCGGAAGTTAATGGCGACAGGCAAAGCGGACAGGGAAAGCCACTACCAAGCAAGCTGCTCATTTCTCTGCAACTAAGGGCAGCCCAGTTCTTTTCTTTTTGAGAATCACTTGATGGCTGTCTCAGCAACTCGGAATACTGTTGTGGAAATCCCGTGGATTTCCCGTAATCCCGCTGAATATCTCCGCTATCCCGCTATTCCGCTATCCCGCTATTTCGCCCCCAATGTCGACAGCGGGACTGGCGCGACATCCATCGCAGCAATGAGGGCTTTATGCGAGGACCCACTATTCCTTGGCTATGGATGGCCTATGTATACCATGGTGATTCGGATAGATACCAGCTCTATGTATAACCTCTCAAGAAACATCCTACCACCAGGCGACTACGAGAGGCAGTCGAAGCGACTATCATCCAAATCCGTTTACACTTGATACTTGTCCGCTTACTTCTTCGTTACTGTTCACTATCGCACATTACTCTCTCAACATGCAGGACTTGATCGCCATTGTTGGCTCTGCTTGTCGATTCCCTGGGCAAGCAGATAGCCCTTCAAAACTGTGGACCCGGCTAAAAGAGCCCGTCGACCTTCGCAGGACCTTTCCTCCCGAAAGACTGAACCTCGCTCGGTTCTATCATCCAGACGGAGAGCACCACGGCAGCACAGATGTACGTGGGATGTCATATTTGCTGTCAGAGGACCCTCGTCATTTTGATGCCACATTCTTTAATATCAACCCTCGCGAGGCAGAAGGGATGGATCCTCAACAGAGGCTGCTGTTGGAGACTGCCTATGAGGCTCTTGAGGCAGCCGGCTACTCACTGGAAGCCATGAATGGGTCAAAAACGTCTGTTCACGTCGGTGTGATGAACACAGATTACAGCAACATTCAGCTGCGAGATCCGGAAGTGCTACCTACATACAATGCCACCGGAACCGTCATTAGCATTCTTTCAAATCGACTGTCATACTTTTTCAATCTAAAGGGCCCATCAGTGACTGTTGACACGGCCTGCTCGAGCTCACTGGTAGCCTTGCATCAGGCCGTCCAGGGCCTTCGCGCGGGTGATGCAACCTCCGCCATTGTTGCCGGCGCAAATTTGATTTTCGATCCCGCTATGTACATCGCTGAATCAAGCCTGCATATGCTGTCCCCTGACTCATTCTCGAGGATGTGGGATAAGGATGCCAATGGATATGCTCGGGGGGAAGGGTTCGGTGTATTGCTCCTCAAGCCGCTGAGCCGAGCCATTATGGACGGCGACCACATCGAGGCAGTCATCCGCAGCACAGGTGTCAACTCCGATGGCCGTACCAAGGGCATCACCATGCCCAACGCAGCGTCCCAAACGGAACTTATCCGACAAACGTACCGTGATGCAGGCCTTGACCCTATCCGGGATCGATGCCAGTACTTTGAGTGCCACGGAACAGGCACTGCGGCTGGAGACCCCATAGAAGCGCGCGCTGTGCACGATGCATTTTTCCACACTGAACCAGGCACAGCCTCTGACTCGCGTATACCTGACGGCAAGCTGTACGTCGGATCCGTGAAGACGATCATTGGCCATCTAGAAGGTTGTGCGGGCATTGCTGGAGTCCTCAAGGCAGTCCTCGCCATCAAGAACAGCACCATCCCTCCAAACATGCACTTCCACGAGCCAAATCCTGAGGTTATTCCATTCTGCGACCGCCTTGAAATCCCAACAGCGCCGATACCTTGGCCAGATACTGGCAGATCCCCCATGCGCGCCAGTGTCAACAGCTTTGGATTCGGCGGGACAAACGCTCATGCTATAATTGAAGGATACGACGCGCTGAGCAGCCCAGTACGGGAGACGACCATAACACCTGACGATATCTTCATTGGACCTTTGTTGTTCTCCGCCAATTCCAGCGCGTCCCTGATTGCCAATGTCAAAAACATGGCCGAGCGGATCAGGTCCGACGCCTCGATCGACCTTGAAAGTCTGGTGTGGACATTATATGCTCGGCGGAGCGTCTTGCCGATCAAAGCCTTCTTCACAGGTGGCACCGCGCAGCGATTGCTCAACTTCATGGATCGGTTCGTCGCAGAGTCTCAGGAAACCACGAGCTCGACAGCCGGGATCAAATACCAGCCGCTGAGCCCCACCCAATCCCCCGGAGTTCTTGGTATCTTCACTGGCCAAGGTGCGCAATGGGCTTCGATGGGTTTCTCGCTCCTCCAGCAGAATCTTGTCTTTCGTGCAGCTATTGAGCGATGCCAGGCTGCCTTGGCCGCGCTGCACGACGGCCCTGCATGGGTTTTGGTGGATGAGCTGGCGAGAGGAGCGAGCGAGTCTCGCATCGGGGAAGCAGCCCTATCACAGCCGCTCTGTACCGCTCTACAGATAGGCCTGGTGGACATGCTGCAGTCCGCGGGCATCAAATTGGATGCTGTAGTGGGCCATTCCTCGGGCGAGATAGCTGCCGTATACGCCGCAGGGATTATCGATGCAGAGGCCGCGATCAAGATTGCATACTACCGTGGCTACTATGCCAAACTTGCTACTGGGGCACGGGGTCAAGCCGGACGCATGATGGCCACTGCCATGTCCTTTGATGAAGCGGAGGAATTCTGCGCGCGACCTCAATGGCACGGTCGTCTTGCGGCAGCTGCAAGCAACTCCCCACAGAGCGTTACACTTTCCGGCGACACCGATGCTATTGAGGAGGCAATGCAGATTTTCGAGTCTGAGAAGAAATTTGCGCGGATCTTGCGAACCGATACTGCTTACCATTCGCATCATATGCAACCATGCGCGGAGCCATACCTGAGGTCATTGCGAGCCTGCCAAATCAAGGTGAATCCGCCCCGGAAGGACTGTGTGTGGATATCCAGCGTCCGCGGCGATACCCAATTGCTGGAGGGTGGCCTATCGGCGCTGGCCGACCAGTACTGGGTGGACAACATGTGCAATCCGGTTTTGTTCTCGCAAGCAGTTGAGACCTCGATCTGGAACGGAGGCCCGTTTGATGTTGCTTTCGAACTGGGCCCACATCCAGCCCTCAAAGGCCCTGTGGAGCAGACAATCAAAGCAGTCTATGGGCCTATCCCCGCCTACGCCGGACTCATGCGCCGCGGTGACAACGAGATCGAGGCCTTCTCTGGCGGCGTCGGTGTTGCTTGGTCCCGCCTTGGACCGGATTTCGTCGACATGAGTGGATACCGCAAGGGCTTCAAGGGAGCCGATCGTCTACGACCACAGGTGCTGAAAGACCTGCCACCTTACTCCTGGGATCACAGCAAGCAGTACTGGAAAGAATCTCGTATCTCCCGTCAATATCGGCTACGGCAGGATACTCCCCATGAATTACTAGGCCGTAGAGTGCCGGATGACACTGATGACAGCCGGAGATGGCGAAATGTACTGCGACTCAGCGAATTGCCTTGGATCAAGGGCCACATCTTTCAAGGACAGGTCCTGTTTCCCGGCGCTGGGTATGTGGCCATGGCTCTGGAGGCAGCACGCGCGCTGACAGATGATCGCCCGGCCACTTTGTTCGAGATTGCGGATGTTTCTCTGCGCCGTGCATTGGTGATTCCAGAGCAAGGAAGTGTCGAAACCGTCTTCACTGTCCGGGTCATCGACGCGGAAGATGGGAGAAAGGATACCGATCGACTGGAGGCAGACTTTGCGTGTTATTTCTGCTCTGCAGAGAACAGCGAGCCCTTGGTCAAAGCATGCACAGGCCGTCTCATCATCAACTATGGTGATCCGGCACCGGATGCCCTGCCACAAAGAACCCGGCTACTATCAAACAACGTACCAGTAGACATGGGGAGGTTCTACGACGCCATGAACAACGTTGGTCTGGATTATCAGGGTATTTTCCGTGGTCTAGTTTATGGCAAGCGATCTCTCGGCTGTTCATCCGTCAAGGCGGTTTGGGGGTCAGATATGCAAATTGACAGCTATGTTGTCAACCCTGGCTTCTTGGACGTTGCATTCCAGTCACTCTACACGGCTTTTTCGTCCMCCGCCAGTGGGGAGATCTGGGCCCCTTATCTGCCGATTCACATTGCGAGACTTGCTGTGAATCCCAATGTGTCTTACCGCATCGCAAACGACGAGACTCAAATGGAGGCGGACGCATTCGTTACCGCATCGAACTCTACACTGCTTAAGGGAGATATCCAGGTTTACCAATGCGAATCTCAGCATGCCGCCCTCCAAGTCGAAGGAATCTCCATGAAATCCATGTCCGAACCTCAACCGGAGAACGATAGATGCTTATTCTCTGAGACCGTCTGGGGCCCCGATGTCTCATTGGGCATTGCTGAAGTGGCCAGCCGTAGAGCCAAGGACGAGACTCGTCTGGTAGAGGCTTTGGACCGAGTATCCTTGTTCTACTGGCAGAAGCTTCTTCAAGAGGTTGGCGCGGAGATCGCCCAGTTCCAGTGGTACCACCAACGAATGTTTGACGTCGTCAATTTTCAGATCGCCTCCGTGCGCAGCGGACAACATCCCATTGCAAAATCAGCATGGCTTGAAGATGATTGGAATACCATCCTTGCTGTAAGCGAGCCTTATGCGTCTCGTGTGGATATGCGACTCATCCACGCTGTTGGAGAGAATCTGGCCTCCGTTGTGCGTGGTGACACCCAGCTACTGGAAGTCATGGTCCAGGATGATATGCTCAACCGCTTTTACATGGAAGGTTATGGCTTTTCTGTCATCAATAACGCGGTCTCGGACGCTCTGGAGCAGATCACGTTCCAGTATCCTCACGCAAACATCCTGGAAATTGGCGCTGGCACTGGTGGAACGACCCGGAGCATCCTTGACAGAATTGGCAGCCGCTATGGGTCTTATACATACACCGATATTTCCCCGGCTTTCTTCAAAGCCGCGGCTGAAAAGTTTGAGGACGCAAGAGGAAAAATCCAGTTTAAGGTCTTGGATGTTGAAAAGGAGGTTGGCGCTCAGGGCTTCGACAAGTGCAGTTACGACGTCATCGTCGCCGCGAATGTCCTCCATGCCACTCGTAAGCTGGAAGAGACGATGAACCATGTTCGGGCTCTACTCAAACCCGGCGGATATCTTGTCCTAATGGAGATTACTGGCTCTGATGTCTTACGGACGCAGTTCATAATGGGTGGCCTTCCAGGGTGGTGGTACGGTGTGGACGACGGACGTGTTCTATCGCCCGCCATATCGGCTGAGCAATGGAACCAGCTACTTCTCAATACTGGCTTCTCTGGATTGGATTGTTTGACGCCGGACATGTTTGATGAAGACAAGCACTCTTTCTCACTCATGGTGAGCCAGGCCATTGATGAGAAGATACAAATTCTCAGAGATCCTGCATCGTCGATGAGAGTTGCCCCAGTAAGGGATGTCCTGATCATTGGAGGCCGAACCCATCCAACTATGCAGATGGTTCAGGAAATTCGCCACTCCCTCGCCTTCTGGACGAACCGTGTTCAGGTTTGGAATAGCATCGGAACCAAGCAGCTGGATCAGCTGGCTCAATTCGAAAACATCATTTGCCTCGAAGAGCTGGATCAGCCACTGTTCTCCACTGCCATGACTGGCGAGACGCTGCTGGCTTTGCAAAAGGTGTTGAGTGGGACAAAGAATGTTGTCTGGGCCATCAACAGCGCCAATGGAGAGAACGCCCACGTTAACATGACTGTCGGTATCGGGCGAGCATTGAGAACAGAGGTCCCTGGTTTGAACCTCGTTTTCGTCGATACCGATGCTGCTGATAATGCTCCAGCATGTGCACAACACCTCTCGCAGATGTTACTGCAGCTGGTGATTGGATCTCCGTTCACGGATGAGAATAGGCTTTGGGCAGTGGAGCCGGAAGTTCGAGTCCAAGAAGGGCGACGCCTTATTCCTCGGATCCTCCCTATAGCGCCATTGAACGAGACGTATAATGCGAGTCGGCGAGTCATTACCAAGACAGTGGATATCGAGACCACGTGTGTGAGATTGGAAGACTCTGCCGGTTCACTGCGCCTGGTGCAGGATGCGTGCATGGTAGACGGTCCCATCCAGCGCGGCCATGATCGGCTTCGCGTCTATCGCTCTCTCTCTCTCGCGGTCTCTGGTGGCTCTCCATGCTACTTGTGCAGTGGTGTTCTGAGGGAGAGCGGTCGCCCAGCCCTGGCACTCTCCATCTCGAACGCGAATTTTGTTGACGTCCCCAACGACATGGTCTTGACCTTGGATCAGGATCAGCCTTGTGATGTCGCGGTACTTGAAGCGACAGCCCGCCATCTCCTGGCGAGAAATATTTGCAACCGCCTTCCGTCCTCGAATGGAACACTTGTGTATCAACCCAGCCATGACTTTGCTCAAGCACTGCTGACAACGGGACGCCACTTTTCATTCGCCGCTACCGACAAGGCCAGCTGCCTCAGTGACTGGATCTACTTCCACCCTAAAGCTTCGCGCCGCGCTATTCAGTCTCATCTACCGGAGAACTTGGATGCCCTCATCGACTGTACTGGTGAAGTACCCGGAAATCTCACAGCCTGTCTCCCGACACACTGCAAGATATTCAACACAACGCTCCATCAGCTCGATGCCAGCCTACTAGGTCCCGCATATTCTGCCGCTCTTACACATGACAGCTCCTCAGGTAACGGACCGAGCATCCAAATCAGAGACCTTCCACTTGCCACGCCCTCCCAACTGCCGATGGTCGATTGGACAGGTGTTGAATCTGTTGAATTGACGCTTCAGCCACTTAGCACGAGCAAGCTATTTTCGCCAAACGCCACTTACCTCCTTGCTGGTATGACAGGCGACCTTGGTCTTTCACTGTGCCGCTGGATGATTGACAATGGCGCCCGAAATATTGCTCTGACGAGCCGGAATCCAAGCGTTGACGAGGAATTGTTGCAAGACATGCGCCGGGGTGCTGCCGACATCCGAGTCTTCCGGAACGACATCACCGACCGAAATGCTGTTTGTCTGCTGGTTGAAGAGATCAGAAAGTCAATGCCGCGCATTGCTGGTGTCTTCAATGCATGCATGGTCCTCCGAGATGGGCTCTTCTCCGAAATGGACGCTGACACCCTCAATGATACTCTCGCGCCCAAGGTTGAAGGGTCCAAGATCCTAGACGAGATCTTCCGGAATGATTCTCTCGACTTTTTCGTCCTCTTCTCGTCCCTGGCAAGTATCATTGGCAATGCTGGCCAATCTAACTACCACGCAGCAAACATGTTCCTCTCCGGTCTTGCCGCCAGTCGCCGCAAGAAGGGTCTTGCAGCGTCCGTCTTACACATTGGTCTGGTCACCGATGTAGGGTATGTTGCTCGCAGGGGTCAGGCAATGGAAGAACGACTCCGCAGGCTGTTTTTCCTGCCATTGTCGGAATCGGACATCCATCATGCGATGGCGCAAACCATTCTTGCCAGTCGGCATCACAGCACGCGTCAACACGAGATTATTTTGGGGTTAGAGCCATTCGTTGATTCACCTAACGCGACGAAACGGCCCCCCTGGGAACACAATCCAAAGTTCTCACATTACGTCTCCCGGCCATTGCTGCACGAAACGCCGGCGGCCGCGACATCGGAAGCTGCAGCAGACGTGAAGCAGCTGCTGAGATTGGCGGTCTCCGAAGAGACAGTCACCCCTATTGTCCAAGAGGCATTCGCAAAGAAGCTCGAATCGATGATGCAGCTCCCGGCCAATAGTGTCAACCCGAACGTTCCCCTAATTGATTTGGGATGCGACTCCTTGCTGGCCATTGAAATTCGGCGCTGGTTCATTAAAGAGGTTGGCATTGACGTTCCGGTCCTCAAGGTGTTGTCCGGCGATACCACGGCTCAGATCTGCGAGGATGCGGTCACGCAATTTCTGGCTCTACAGCTGGCGAAGAAAGGCGCAGTGTCACCCAACACGACAGAAAAGCCCGAGACAGAGCCTCAAAGACCCAGTGATGCCGTCACTGTCGCCAATGATGCTCTTGACAAAGTTGATGGTGCCAATGGGGACTACGAAACAAGTAGCCAAGGCGATGATTCGCGAGGAACCTTCTCGTCGTCGAGCAKCCACACCAGTCCTAGTCTCCAAGCTACTACTCCTGGCGTCAAACCGAACACCCTGGCGCCGTTGGGTGCTGACGCAGAACCTCTCGATTGTGGACTTCAGCGGGCCATGATTCGCGCCGAACGTGCCTCCTTTGCCCAGTCGAGACTGTGGTTCTTGACGCAGTATCTTCATGATCCAACAACGTACAATGTCACCGTCCGTTACGATGTTAGAGGAAAGCTTCCAGCTTCTCAAATCGTCAATGCGCTTGACGCAACCATCCGCCATCATCAGTCTCTGCAAACGTGCTTTTTCATGGACTCGGACAAGGAAACACTCATGCAAGGAGTTCTTTCACCGCCGTGCAGTTCCATCAAGAGTATTGTTTCTGGGAGCGAGCAGACAGTCGTAGAGGAATATGAGCGTTTGCGGCTTCGAGTTTGGGATCTCGAGAAGGCGGAAACGTTCGCGGTCACTGTTGTTTCTTTGTCGCCCGAACAGCATACCATTATCTTCGGGTACCATCATATCGTCATGGACGGGGTGAGCTGGCACCTTTTCTTGCGAGACTTGAACCTCGCATATTGCCTGAGATCGCTCGATTCGATTGAAACAGAATATATCGACTGGTCGCAGAAGCAATTTCAGTCAGCTCAGCGAGGAGACTTCACCAGACAACTCGATTACTGGCGCAAGCAGCACTCTCCTCCACCATCGGTCATTCCACTGCTGCCAATGGCTCGGACGAGTTCTCGGAAGCCGCTCACCACGTATGACAGCCATGTCGTCAGTGTCCAAATTGATCGACAGCTCGTGTCGCACATCCGGCAAGTCAGCCAGTCTTTGCGCGTCACGTCCTTCCACTTTCATCTAGCCGTGATCCAAAGCATCCTCCGCCGCTTGTTGAAGATAGAGGATCTTTGCATTGGCGTGGCCGATGCGAACCGAACTAGTGAAGCTCACTCAGGGACTGTGGGATTCTTCCTAAATCTTCTTCCGGTCCGCTTCAATGCGAAGGAGCAGAGCACATTCCAAGATCTGGTTTCCTCAACAAAACGCACGATTCTTGGAGCCCTTTCCAACTCGGAGACGCCGTTCGATCTCATTCTCGAGGACTTGAAAATTTTGCGAAGTGCAGAACACAGCCCTTTGTTCCAGGTTGCTGTCAATTATCGCATGGGCGCAATGCTCCAGGTTCCCCTTGGAGACGGAACAATGGAGATGGCGTCTGCCGACGACGCAAAAAATCCATACGACCTCAGCTTCGGGATCACGGAGACTGCGACGGGGGCTTGCTTGCTGGAACTGACTAGCCAAAAACAACTGTACACGGAGCAGTCCACAGAGCTTTTGCTACAGATGTACGTGGACGTCCTTCGCGCCTCGTCCGACAATCCTTCACTTCCGGTCAGTCAGCTACCAGTCATGTTGGAATCGCCAAGCGAAAAAACACTTGCCGTCGCTAAAGGCCCCAGAGTCGAGTATTCCTGGCCGAACACACTATGGGAACGATTCGAGGCTATCCAGAAGTCGTTTCCTGAGGAGACTGCCATCAAGGACGGGATGTCAGATATGAGCTACTCGCAGCTGACCAGAAGGGTTGAGAAACTCGCCGCGACGCTGATCAGACAAGGTGTTGCCGCTGGAGATAGTGTCGGTGTTCTCCTTCATCCGTCCACCGACGCGATTGCTTGTATGCTGGCCTCGTTGCGCGTTGGATGCATCTATACACCCCTTGACACCAGACTGCCCCTGGCCCGATTGAGTATCATTGTCGATGACTGCAAACCCTCCTTGGTCTTGTATCACGCTTCAACCCATGACGTTGCTCTGGGACTTGGAAAGTTGTCCAAACTGGCCAATGTTGACGATACATGCAAGACGGTTGAAGCGCAAATCCCGGCACTTGCGCCTCAATCAAATCCAGCGTCATTTCTGTTCTACACCAGCGGCAGTACCGGTGCGCCCAAAGGCATTCTGCTTACCCAACAAAATTTTGTGAATCATCTGGCTGCGAAGACCGACAAACTGGCTCTCGGCAGGGAAGTTGTCTTACAACAGAGCTCTTTGGGATTCGACATGTCCGTCGTGCAGACTTTCTGCGCTTTGGCCAACGGTGGAACCTTGGTTATCGCACCAAAGGAAGCGCGAGGAGACCCCGTCGCACTGTCCACACTCATGGCAAAGGAACGAGTGACGCTGACGATTGCCACGCCCTCGGAATACTCCTTATTGCTTCGCTTCGGTCTTGAACAGCTCCAGAAGCCCTACGCATGGAGACATGCCTGCATGGGCGGCGAAGTCGTCTCGCCGCAGTTGGTTCAGCAGTTTTGTCAGCTGGATCATCCTGGTCTCCAGCTGACCAACTGCTATGGTCCGACGGAGATCACTGCTGCTGTAACATTCCAAGGCATCCCTCTTCAATTGGAAGACCAAAGCACGACTGATGGATCTTTAGTGGGAAAGCCCTTGCCTAACTACTCAGTCTACATTATGGATGCTTCTGGATCTCCGGTGCCCATTGGGGTCACCGGCGAGATCTACATTGGAGGCGCTGGTGTTTCACTAGGCTATTTAAATTCTCTGGAGCAGACTGACGCGAAATTTGTTCGGGACCCCTTCGCTAGCCCAGAGGACACTGCCCACGGTTGGACGAAGATGTACAGAACCGGAGATATGGGGCGTCTCATTGAGAGTGGCGCTTTGGTTTTCATGGGCCGCATGGACGGCGATAATCAGGTCAAATTGAATGGTTTGCGGATTGAGCTCGATGGGATTGCCAACAGCATGCTCGCCACTGGACGTGATCTGGTGTCCGAAGCCGTTGTAACCGTTCGTCCTGGCTCGGGTTCTGGTTCGCCATTCCTCGTAGCTCATGTTGTCCCTTTTGGAGACCACGTTGATGAATCCAGACTTCAGCAGCTCGCCAGAGACCTTCCACTGCCAGAGTACATGCTTCCATCCGTGGTCGTTGCCCTGGACCGCCTGCCAACCAACGCCAACGGGAAAGTTGACAGGAAGGCCATCATGGCACTGCCTCTGCCAACTCACCGCGCTGAGAGCGTGGCAGGTACAGACATTGGTAATGCAGGACATCTCAACCTCGCAGAAGGCGAGCTACGCCTGTTATGGGAGAAGGTGCTTCCGGTCTCCGGTGGTCCGTCACGACTAGATGCCGATTCAGATTTCTTTATGCGAGGAGGAACCTCCATGCTGCTGGTCAGGCTCCAGGGAGCTATCAAGCAGTCGATTGGCGTTTCGATCACCATCGCGGAGCTGTACCAGTTTCCGACTCTCGGTCAAATGGCGCAGCGAATCAGTCGCCGTAAGGAAGAGCATCAGCCGTCCCACACATCAGTAATCAACTGGGATTCCGAGACCTCACTGACCCAAGATCTCATCTCTGCAGCTCAATGCCAATACTCGACACGTCAAGCAAAATTGCATGACCGTCACGAGATCTTGCTTACCGGTTCTACCACTTTTCTCGGCAAAACAATCCTGCAGTCCCTCCTCCACAACCCGCTCGTTGAACGAGTGCACTGCGTCGCCGTTCCCGATGAGGATGCCTCCCTCCTCCCGTCATCCAACAAGATCAGCATCTACGCCGGCAACCTCCTCACACCTAATCTGGGGTTGTCCAAGGCCGAGATGGCGGTCCTTCAATCATCCCTAGACGTCATCATCCACGCTGGTAGCACCGGGCACTGCCTGAACAACTACTCTTCCCTACGCAGTTCAAACCTCGGCTCAACGAAGATCTTGGCGGGTCTTGCTCTCTCACACAGAATCCCCATCCATTTCATCTCGTCCAACCGCGTAACTCTGCTCACCGGCAACACGAGTCTCCCTCCGGTCTCAGTTTCATCCTCCCTACCCAGCCCGGATGGCTCTGAGGGATTCACCGCAAGCAAATGGGCATGTGAACGGCTCCTTGAATCAGCCGCCGCACTTGAACCCGGACTCCCTGTTACAATCCATCGTCCCTGCGCGGTCATCGGAGACGAGGCGCCAAACGAGGACGCACTGAACGCTCTTCTGAAATACTCCAAGCTCACGCGCTGTGTTCCGCGTTTCGAAAACTTCGAAGGGTATCTTGATTTCGAGGACGTACACAGGGTAGCAGGAGCGATCGCTGCGGACGCTCTGTCGTCTGCTGAATTAAGGGAGACCAAGCCTGCCGTACTATTCAGGCACCACTCCAGCGGGCACAAAGTGTCAATGAAGGACTTCAAGGGACGAATGGAGACATTGTTCACATGTGCGTTTGAGGAGGTTTCTGCGGCTGAGTGGATTGAGCGCGCATTGCAGGCTGGTATCGATCCACTTATCACGGGGTACTTGGAGGCGATGACGATGAAGGGGGAGACGATCCGGTTTCCTTATATGGGAGAGACGGGGTCGCTTTGAGTTTATGTACCTTTGTATCACCTGATTCGTGTTTCTTTTGTTTGTGTTTTGTCTATCTGGTCTGTCGAATCAGTCGATTTTGACTTGCATCTTGTATGTAAACTCAGTACTCCGTATAGAATTAGATGAATCTCCGGTCTGATCCACAGTAGCTGCAGCTGCTCCTCTTCAGAAAGGCAGGGGAGGGACTCGAAACTGTAGCCATAAAGTCAGAACCTAGGTTACAAAAGACAATGATGGTATTGATAAGAAGCCGTCTTTTCCAGCGCAGTGGCCAGTACTGTACCTAGCTAGATCCAGCAAGGTTCTTTAACGGGCATGTCATCCTCAGCGCCTGCCCCCGTGGCCAGTAGTCGCCCTCTTTTCTGACGGCTACAAGGATAAGGCGATGGGTACACGGTCCCGGAATTGAGCCAGCGCTGTGCTCTTAAGTACCTTAGAGGCTCTTGGTCAGTGTGATTATTAGTGCTCCAGGTACAACCGACTCGACACCCAGGCACCATCTCAATATCTTTGCGCATTGAAGATACTACCTGATATGTATGAGCATGGGCATCAGTCACAAGGTGTGATTACTAAATATAGTAAGTTATTGTAGGATTGAGCGGACGATCTGACTTTTGTCGATGAACGCAGTTACCTATATTTGCGTTGGTATTCTCCCGATGGGGTATCATATATATATCTCTGGCCAAACAAGCACGTCCCGTTTTCTAAATTGACTAGGCAAGAAACAGTCATTAATCATGCCAATTTATCCTTATCCCTTAGCCAAAGCCTTCTTCCCACCCACCATCTTCGCCACAAAGGCCAGAACACCCCCGAACATCATCACAGCCGCACTAAAGATCTGAACCTGGAGGAAGCCACCGTAGTCATTAAGCAGCGCGCCGTTAATAGGTGGGCCAATAAGAGTGGCAACCGACATAACAGCCATACCCATTCCAATGTACGTGCCGATTTCCTGAGGATGCCCGGCACAGTTGGCAATAGCGGCGGGTGTGATACCGATGATACCGCCAGAGAAGAAGCCGTATAGCACGGAAAAGACGATGATGCTCGCGTTGGTGGTCATGCGGATCCAGCAGAATGTGATGATGGCGGTGATGATGCTTACGGTCGAGAGCATGTTGTACGGTCCGATTTTGTCTGCGATGACGCCCGGGACTAAGCGGCCGAAGAAGGAGGATGCATTTTGGATCGCGATGAGGTAGAAGGCTAGGCTGGTGCTCATGCCGTGGGATTCGCCGTATAACGGTAGGTAGAAGAAGGGGGTGAAGATGCCGACGTTCAAGAAGAAGACCGCGGTTAGAGTCGCGACGTAGCGAGTTTTCTTGAAGGCCTCGAGTTTGAGGAATCTTTGTTTCTTGGGTGGGAGGCGCGCGCGGATCCCCAAGACTGAGAAGGACATGACGCCGAGAATGACGAAGCCGACGATGCGGACGGCCCAGGCGAAGCCTAATGAGGAGTAGAGCATCCGGTCTAGGGCGATGGGGAAGATCACGCCGCCGAGGGATGAACCGGCGATGGTGATGCCCATTGCAGCGGCGCGCTTTTTCTGAAAATACTGCGCTGTGGAGGAGAGTGCTGGGGCCAGCGACAAGCCCATGCTAATACCGCCGAGGATTCCTTGAGCTAGGAAGAATTGGTAGAATTTCGTGCAGAGGCTGGTCATCATGACGCTGAAGATGACCAGCACCGCGGGGGCCCAGATGACCTGTCGTTGGTTAGCAGGTCAACTAGATCATATATCTCGGCCATGGCTCACTCTGGCTCCATAGCGATCAAATAGGGGACCGCCGACAAGACCGGATCCGAAGAGGAAAAAGGTCTGAACCGACCCAATCCAGGCGATGTCTGAAGCACTGTAGTTGCTCAGTTGATGGGTGATGTAGTAATCCTGATAAACGCTACACTCGTGGTTAGCATATCAAATACAGGGTCCAGGGAGAACGAACCCAAAAGCATTGACATATCCAAAAGTACAGAAGAGCACACCTCCAGCTCCCAGGGCCACCATCCAGGCTCGTGCTCCACCGTCCGGAAAGGGCGCGGGCTCGGGGGCCTTTGGAGGCTGAACGATGGATTCTTCCTTGGAACTCTCGCGTACAGAGGACATGATGTTGGCTCAGCTCTGTGTATGAATAGAGTGCCAATACAGGACTCGTGTTACTCATTTCGATATCCTGTCGAAGGTGGGATTTATACTAAGCCCGCCTGTGGGATCCAAGGCCGAGCTTAAGCTCGGCCTCGGCCTCGGCCTCAAGGATGAAGACCGAGATAGAGCTCGGGTTCGGTCCTGGCCGACGCCGGGATCCAGCAGTCCCCTGAATTTCCCTGACCCTCAGGGAAATTGAGGGGCCATCGGGTCCCGCCTCCAGGCTAAGGCTCCGCTAAGCGCCTTGGCGGGCAGAGAGGCTAGGTTCAAGTACTGCTCAACTCTACATATGTTGAAAATATCCGCGTGGTCTATATATTAGACCGGGGAGAATACGAGGTTTGTCATCCCTTAGTATTCGTAATCCGAATCGTCATATAGTAGAACAGTATGCCTGTTGATATAGAGAGTAGATCACCAGTTGATCGATTTGACCTATAGGGAAGGTATAACAAAAGAGCCAAGCCAAATCATCCCAAATGGGTAAGTGGTAATTTATATCAACACAAACCCCCAAGCTAAACGTCAGGCGAAGCTGATTCCAGAGTAGGCAATCGTGTCGAATCGCGGACGTTGATGGAGGTAGAAGCTCCCAGGCCACATCTGAATTGTGTCAACGTGTTGATCGTGAGGCTGGCGGAGAGTTGCGAGGGCGTTGGCGACCGGGACGTGGATGATACTGTAGTAAGATGTGCATGTTGTGTTGTAGGCAAAGGTGCAAACGAGGAATCGATCGTAAACAAGCACAAATCGTCTGAGAGAAGAAAGGAAGACCTCATTCAAGTGCCCCCATCCCTGCCGTTGATAAATATAATAGAACGGTATCATGCTCTGGACAATGTTCTTTTCACTCCCGTTCTGTCGATGCGGTTTGAGATCATGATGTTTCCCTGCAGCCACGCTCAAAAGAGGGCAGCCGTTGAAGGGAACGTTAAGGAACTTCTCGAGTAACTTGCTGCGGAGTATTTCCCCGCCGTAGCTTGTCCCGTCGAGCCGACCATTAGGATTCACTGGTGTTCCAAGCTTGATGACGCAGAGCTATTCAGGCCCCGTTTCGTGGGAGCTAGAGTGTATGCGGCGAACTTCCTGAACCCTCATCAGCTTGACTCCAGTTCCTGAGGGGACCACAATATCTGCTCAATACTTTGATGCTGAAGAAGGTTAGAAAAGTGAAGAAAAGAGAAGACACATTCCAGTCAAGAAATGTAACGAACTTGTGCCACAATTTCAGCATCTTCTGCCGTGAATGCTACTAGATAATTGACTCGCTCGGTGCTCTTCAGTATATCGTCGAGCAACCTGTCCACAACATCTATATCCCATCTCTCCTTAGACGGTCGAAGAATGGGGTGATCGCTGAAAATCTCTTAATCTTGCGCTCAGCGCCGAAGTTGTACGCTGGTATCCGCGACGGGACAGGAGTTGCGATTCCGATATAGAGTTAAAACGTCCAGTGGAGAAGTAAAGTATTATGACGAGTTCCATCTTGTGACCAACGCGCCGCGAGTCTCATTATTAACAACATTCAGCACGAGATCCTCCCGTGGAGTCATTGACGAGAGGGGATAAAGGTACCGATGTGCCACAGTCGTCGGACTGGGACCAGCGTGTTGCCCTACATGGGCGGACAGACTTGGTGTCAGACTGCTGGCTTCAAAACATCGTTGTATCATATACCCAGAGACTGCCAGTCCTGTGTAAGACTATGAGTATGCGACCATTGTCGATATCTATTAAAGACGAGGGGGCGAACAGGGAAGGAAATCGGAAGGATCATCTGACTGGTCAACCCAGAGATCTTTTGATTGAAGGCGGATCTGGAGGAAAGAGTACGGTGGGCAAAACGACCTGGAACGAGCAAAGAATCTGCATAAAGGTTATCGTTACAGGGGCAGGGTGCCCTATATATATATATATATATATGTATATGTATATATGTTTCCAATCCCTTTCATAAGGCTCAGCCGCTGTGATATTTAACACTCTCACTCAAGGGCAACCAACATCAAGGGTGCCAGTGACCATCCATCACGGTTTGTGAAGGGCCCCTTTAAAAACCTCAAAAAACCTTTTAAAGGAAAAAGGAGGAATCGGTACGCGTGCACTCGTCCTACCTAGTCTGGATATCGGACCGAGATATTCCGGAGCCCCAGAGACTGGAGACGTCAAACCGACTGAAGTCCCCCGCAAAATACCGGTCTAAATTCGGTGATCATCTCTGACTGTGAATGTCAATACAATCCCTTTTGGCTGATGCTTCTGTCTGCATTATTGAGAACGCCTCCGCACTACGATTTGCTATGGCCACCGAGGACGGTTCGCGGAAACGCAGACGCCCAGCCCAGTCCTGCGAGCAATGCCGCCATCGAAAGGTGCGCTGCGACCGCAACATTCCATGTGGCCCTTGTACACGCGCACGATCTGTTCTTCACTGCTCTTACCGCGATAAAAGTCCATCGCCAAGCTCAGCTGACGTAGAAAATATCGATACCTCGGACACTGCTCAGCGTCCAGTCACGGAGGCCTTCAATCAGAGACCACCGGACCGCCTGATCCCAACAGACCTCGGGGATACGAATCTTCAATCCACAGTGGAATTACCTCTCCGGGAAATTCGGCACCGACTACAGTCACTTGAAGATCGATTGACCGCTCTAGCGAAGAGCTCTCAGTTGCCCCGAGATGATCGGCGGCTGGAACGGGCATTGCATGACCTCACCGAGAAAACACGCAACATCGAACAACAGCTTACCGCAACGCCACGGCACTTCCGGACAACACATGAAGATAATGATTTGACTGTCAGCGTTATGCCGCGGCGCCTTAATGTAGCGGCAGGCAAGACGAAACTCCTCGGCCCTACTCATTGGATTCATAAGGTGGACAAAGTATGGCACGCTCTTTTCTACTTTGCAGTGCGAGAAACTAAACAGATTGCAGCTTCAAGTTGTTGAGTCTTTCAGTGCTAAAGAATCTGAAGCTTCTTTCAGAGAGCTGAAATCAGACCTCACAAATGTGGTCAAAGAATGTAGGGCCCTTCGGAAGTCCATCAAGTCTCACAGGGCTGTGACACTTGATGACCCTGTTCCTGACCTCCGTGCCACTATTCCGCCACGGCCGGTGTGCTATGAGCTGGTTCAATGCTATCTGCGCACCTTTGAGCCAATCTATCGCGTGCTGCATATCCCGTCTTTCTGGGAAAGTTACAGAATATTCTGGACGGAGCCCCAGAGCTCCCCCGTGTCCTTTCTGATGAAGCTAGTATTGATTCTTGCCATTGGTACTGCTTTCTATCCCGATCGTACTAGCGCAATTGATAATCGGTTCTTGCGACTCAAGCCGAAATGGGTGTACGCGGCTCAGTGGTGGCTTACAGGGCCTTCGGAAGAAACAACAGCCAGTCTAGATGGATTGCAAGTATTCTGCTTGTTACTAACAGCGCGCAAAGTCTGCCGATTGGGGACGTCATATGTGCTTTCCGCGAACTCGCTTATCGACATGGCAATGCGATTGGGAGTTCACATTGATCCTTCCGATTTCCCTAATTTATCTGCATTTGAGTCTGAGATGCGCGTCCGCCTCTGGGCTACTGTCCGTGAAATGGCCCTACAATCAGCTTTGGAGTCAGGTCTGCTTTGCCGGCTTCCCCCGGGATCCGATCCGAGACCGCCATCCAACCTTGACGATCGTGATATCGGCCCTGATATAAACCAAGTTCCTTCCGCAAAGCCGCTTACGCAGTGGACAGATACGTCTTTTCTGTCATTGCTTCAATGTTCGGTCGAACTTCGCATGGAAGTTGTTCAGTTCGTGGCCACTCCTGGGGAGAAGTCCTATCAAGAGGCTTTGCGGCTCACCGCAGATATGAGACAAGCTTGTCGTAAATTGGCCGATTTTGCCCAGTCTTGTACAGCACCACCATCAGTTCATGGCTTACGACCCACAGAGTTCCACAAACGATTCCTGGATATGGAGTTCCGCAGATATATCATGGCTCTACATGCGCCATTTATGGTGCAAGCTCGAAAGGACCCCCGCTTCTACTACTCTCGCAAAGCCTCTCTCGAATCTGCAATGGTCATTGCATCCTATGCTAACAGCTTGGATCTACCGGAAATTCCGGCGGATGATTTTTCCAAGATGATTCTCGCTGGTACCGGCAGCTTCAAGGGTCCCTTAGGGCTGGACATTCTTTCGGTCCTTGGCCTTGAGATCGTCACTCAACTAGAAGAGGAATCTTCTGAGCAGTCGTTGTTAGGCCCTGAGGAGGAAATTGCCAAGGCTGGTCGCGCTCCTGTTGTTCGGATTCTTCAGCATATTCTCAGCCAGCTCCTTCAGATCATCTCGTTTGGAAGTCCCAGCTTGAAACAATATATTTTTCTCGCGGCAATATTGGCTCAGATTCGTGCTATGGAGTCGAACCAATGCATAAAGCGAGCTGTTTACGAGACCGTAAAGCATGGTTTACAAGAGTGCTACGCGTTGTTGCAGTCAAGTATGGCTAGCATGCCTGGTAGTGCGATGGCGGGTGTGCCAGCTGGCACAGCTGTTGAAACGACCCTTGGTTTGCCTGATCCACCACTCTCTCAGCTTGCTTTACAGTCAGCGGTAAGCTTTTTGCTCCGGGAGTGAGTTCCTGAAAAGAACAATTGTTTCTAAATTTTCCAGTAGGACCTTGCATTCGACCTCGACCTCGCCAGCCTTTTGTGTTTCGAAGATATTAATGATCCCAGCAATGCTTACTTGTGAAATGAAACAATTATAAACTTGGATTCATGCTGCGGTGGATTGGATTCTGCCATCTATATTTATAATTCTTCCTTTCATTATCCACGACTCCTCTACTGTGGTGAGCTCCTCAGAGGACTGTGTGTCTGAGTCCATGCTCCAAAAAAGGAAGAAGACGAAGGAGGCGAAACGTCTGGGGCTGGCACCAGGTCGGCCCGGAAGTTCATACCTTGATCAATATCCAGCATATGCATTGTTTCCGCTCAATGCTTTTCAGGGCTGTTGGACCTTTGGGCTGACTCAAGAATATGGTGCCATTGCCCCAGAGCCTTTTTGACCATTGGGAAAATATCATGTGTCCCATCCTTTCCCGAGCGTAATGCCTCAATCTGAACAGATGCGCATACGAATGCCACATACTCCTGCATACAAGGTTGGCTCTGCTCCATACGTGTCCGGTAGATCCTGATTGAGTCTTTTATAATTTGGTAGAGCTTGGTATGGGGTTCTCGATCCGTGAGTGGGAATGCATCCTCAACTAGCTCCTGGATCAGATCCTGGCAAATTGCTGCAGTGGCCTGTTGCAGGACGTTCTTGAAGATGCCCTGGCCGGAGATTTGCAACTGGAGGTAGTAGCTGCCCATTGGCGAAGAAGGGCCAGTGGCGGTGTTGTGGGACAGAGGATAGGACAGCAAAAGCGAGGACGCATCGATGCGGCCTTTGCGAGTGTAATATAAGGAATAGTCCGAGCACGATTCGTCGGCAAATGGAGTGAGGAGGGCAAGAAGAAACCTTCGAGTCCAGAGGTCGAGAAACTTGATCTGGAAATCGGTAGGCATGACAGCGCCCGGTGCTTGAAGGGTAAAGGATTGCAACAATCTTAGGTTGGCATTGCAGGCTCTCCTAAGCTCGGATGCTAGCTTCAGCGCCTCCTGATACGGTATACTTGTGGTGGGGGAGTACAAATGATTCAGAATACGAATCCGGATCCTCTGTGTCTCGGCGAGGAGAATCTGCATGGTGGAATCTGTGAAGAAGGAGCGGGGCTTGGGATCGCACAGCGTAGCCACMGAACCTAGATCGGTATCCGACAAATTCGAGGGGAGTCCGGTGTCAAACCCACCATCGATGGGCAGTGGGACAGGAAGTTTGGCATCTAGACTAGCCTGGAGCGAAAGCTCGAGCAGGGTCACCCAGAGCCGTCTTCGGACTTCAACCTCGGTGCCGAGCATTGCGAGGTTATGGATGTGGGGGTCACGATGGAGGCCGAGTTTCATGCCCATCCGCACCAAACAGTCCTCCGATAGCCAGAAATGCTGACCACCGACGACTGGAGGACTGGTATGGCGACATAAAAGCAGGAGGCACCCGATCTGCAGCATGTCGAGGTTGAGCTGGGCGTCGAGCACGATCTTCCGAAAAAGCCATTGTTGGCTGTGGTGCATCCACGCCAATGCCCGAGGTCGCATGTCTGCCAACTGGCCTGCTGATGGTGAGGCAGGGGCGAACAACGTTCCGATTGCCATGGCCAGCAGCAACTTGCACAGAAAGACATCACTGATGCTGTCCGGACTGTTCCAATACTGCCTATACTCTTGATAGAACGAGTGTATGTGCAATATGCGAATTGCAGACTCGAAAGTATTGACGTACAACTCCAGCAGCACGTCGCAAGTGGCTCGTGGGGGAATTAGGCTTGACACTTCAGGTGTGGTAGGGCCCGGGGGCCAATAGAGCCATTCCAAAGGCATCTTTGAAGTGGCTAGCGAGAGCTCGAGATCGCGGGTCTTTCTCTGCATCCGTCGTAGATCTTCGGAATCGAACCAGAACTCGTCAGGGTCACAGGTGAGTATTTCCATCCATGGCGCGGTATGTTGGTCCCGCAACTTTCCGATCTGGCCCTGCAGGTTAGCCACAGAGTCGGAGTCAGCCAGGAATTCAATGCCGGTCTCCGGAGGCGCGATATCCCAGGCTAGAGGGGCGACCGAATTGGGGGGAAGATGGATCTTGTCGGCGGGGCTGAAGGCACGTAGTCTAATGAGAAGTCGCTATCCAGGGAGCCACTCCCAAACCCATGAAACTTGTTGTCGTTACTTAACAGCAATTGCGAAGAATTATTCACGCTGGACTGCGAGCCTGGGATAATCACCGGCGCCGTTGCAGGTGGATTGATGTTGGATTGGCTGATATTGGGACACAAGTGGTTATAGATACACCGCAGAGCCGCCTTCTCACAGTGGCGGCAAGGTGTCGCCTGGTCACATCGGATCTTCCGTCGTCGGCATTCGGTGCAGGCCACAGCTGGTCTGCGGCGTCTCACAGGAGGGTTCACCCTGCTGTCCACGTGCATTGAGGAGGAGAGTTCGGGACCAATGCGATCAAAGGAAATGATGCTAAGAAGGCGAGGCTGTTGACGATCGAAGTTTGGATAAAGCAAACTGGAATAAGACCTTCTGAAGGATGCCAAGTAGCCACCCCAAGACTGGGTGACCATAGCTTGTTAAATAGCGCTATTCGGGGAGCATCTCTATCGTCATCGCCTTCGGCTAGAGTGCGCAATAACCTCTACGGTGCGCCTCTTGGGATCCTCGGTGTTGGAAGCATTCTTCGTTGGCCCTTCTACCTTGCTGGCAAGTAAGCACTAACAGGGGCCGGGGAGATTCATCCATCTGCAATCATGGCGGTCCTGCAGCCGCATGCTTCGAGCAATGGCCATTTTCCAGTTGGTCCAACGAAAATACCGCGAGACCCATTGCTTAATAATCTAGTTGGTTTTCATTAAAAATGTTAGCGTGGTAGTTAAAATTAGTCGTCATCTGTCATATTGGATGATGTAACTATTCCGTTAAGACTAGCTATCCGAAGTGAGATAAATCTTGCTGGACTTGAAAGGAATGGGGAGGATCATTGCCGCTACTCCTATTCCATATCATTAACGCGAGAGACACAGTCCAGAATGGAGGGTAGGGATTATGGGAGGAAGCGAAAATCAAGAAAATGTCTCGGAAGGTTGATAGTACGTAGCTGGCTTAAGATCCATGCTGGTCAGAATGACTTTTCGTGGGGGCTGAATTAAAGGCAGCATTTAACACTGGACCACTCGGGTACCCTAAACTCATCTAGAATGTAGGGTAGGGGATCACGGACGACTAATCAGGTTGATCTTCCTCCAGCCAGAGCAGCAATATCCGGTCCTGTTCATACGAGTATTTCTTGGAGGGGGGAAAAAAGACACAGCCCCTCGAGCCATCTTCCCCTAGGTAACATCCGAAGGACGTCCTCTCGCGCTAGTAATGGTTTGCATTGCTAGACACCTTCCGCTAAGACTAACAAGCCATGATTATTTGCTAAGAAAGTTGTTGGTTGATCCACTTTGGGCCACCTACTACGCGTCCTTATAGGTAATTACTTCCTGCCTGGCAAGACCTACTTCCAGACTATCTGCCCAGCAAACAGTCTACTCCCATATCTTTGTCCTGTTTGCAATCTCACCTGTGTCCTTGCATTGATGTCCAGGATCCAGTGCATGAGAACAGTCTTCCACTGGCGGTTCGGCCCAGCGCCATAGTGGTACTAGTGGAAAGCATTTCCAGCAGGATGGTATCCAATGACATCGCGCATTTCTACTAACAGGTGAACAAAATGATCAATATTTGCTTGCATGAGCCCGTTGTCCTTCTCCCAATTCATTTGGACAGCAAATTGACCAAAACAATCCTATCTAAGAGGACTTCATCTATTTATTAAGGACCAGCAGGGTTCCATCTAAACAGTTTTTCATGCAAACTAGTGTCCTTCGTTAGCAGCTTCTGGAGGCATTATTTTAGGCAGCTCTTAAGAACTTTACTAAAGAGGATAGAATCATATTTTAATTAAAGTAACAAGACTGGCTCTCCCTATAGCGCCTGGAGTTCATCGGCAACTGGCACATATTTGGGGATCAGCCTTTAGGTAAAATGCTTATTTAACGCCCACTACCCACAGGTAATGTAGCGGCAGGGCCCGGCGGATGCTCAGGCTTTTCGGCCGAACCATACAACCCTCGCAAAGTCGTAGCTGCTGCCTTCTGGTCATGTGACCTCGTACTATCAATGTACCAGTCTCATACTTTTCGTCTCCTTCTGATGTAAACTTAATTGGCATGGCAGTTGGGATATTCTAAAAATGATTTAAGATTTTTTTTTATTGAATAATAATGGAGCCGAGACTGGTGACAGGGTGATCGGAGTCTTAAGGTTCTCCATCCAAGGTCTCACCATCTTGCCACCCATAATTGGTATTAGAGATGCGTTTGGTCCGAGTTGGGCAAGTCCAACCCAGTTGGAACCGAACCGCTGCGATTTTGAGTCTAAATTTTAGAAATTAGAGCCAAACCTGATCCGTTCCAATTCAGTGCGAGTTTAACCGCAAAATCCGCGCCTAAGCCTAGATAGGCAGTCACTAACTAACAGTTAGATTCAGTTTGGTTTAGTTTCTATTTAGGTCGGTTTCGGGTCTAAATTTCAATGGCTTTTAGAATTCAATTTCTCCTATCTTAGGCATATACCTAGGGCCTATCAAGTCTTTTATAAAATTATTATTTTTATATGAAATATATAGTAATTATAGTCATTTTAATCTATATCTAAAATATTGATTCAATATCTATAGGGTGGAATGGGTGGTGGTTAAAATAATCGTTAGATCATAGTGATTATCGAAGGTTGATGTGTACATATATATAAACTATCACTATTTTTATACCAACCCATGACAGAAATAATTATTTACTTATATCTCACCAACCACTAGATATTTTGAATTGATATTTCATATATAGATAGACTAGATACTAGGCTATCTAGTGATATTAATATTTCTAGAGAAACCCTAGAAATTAGTTATTACTAATTAAAACAGTGAGGGTTGGTGAACCTAATCTGATAAATCCTCAAAAACTGTAACCCACGGTTTTAACCAAACTTAAATTGGTTTCACCCTACCTAAACCAAAACCAAAGCAATTCCCTAGGCACCGAACCCTCACCGCTGCAAGTTCGGTGAGGGTTGGGTTCGATTTTAGCAGTTTGGTTATGCAACTCTAATTGGTATTAAGGGATCGCGTCGACTCAGTCGAGAGCTGGTTGACAGGCAGGCCAACATCTGAAAATGGCCGGCTGCGACGGTCGCCAACGTTCTACCGTAATGGGCTGATATCCCGCTCAGCCTTGTGATTCCAAAGGAAGGTGACATTGACATCTATCTCTTTAGACTCTTGGCTACTATTCCCCTTTCCTTGTGTCCTTTACCGTCTCCCTTGTTCATCACATTCCAACAATCCTCCCCCAAATCCAACCTGATCCAGCCAGGGCCAAAAGTGGCCACCCCTCTCTTCCTGCTCCATGACGGCGGGGGCACCATCTTTAACTACTTCATGCTAGGCGAGATCAACAGCCCCATGTACGGCATCCAAAGATCCTAAGTTTGGAACAGCTGAGCAGTGGCAGGGCGGACTAGAGGAGATGGCTTGATTATATATCACTCTCATTTAATCAGTTGTACCACGCGGCCCTATTCTGCTCGGGGGCTAGTCACAGGGTGGCCTAATCTCATTAGAGATTGCCCAAATCCTAGCTACAGAAATTAGCCACTTGCAGCTAGAGGTCAAGGGGGTGGTCCTAATTAACAGCCTGCTTCCAGGAAAATGCCCTAAACTCCAAGACCAATTCATCGGCGGGGATGTATCAGTGAATGGGACCGCATCGGCCAAGACCAAGCAGGTGGTTGATTAGCGGATGGATGAATGTGATCGCATATTAGGCGCCTGGAAAGCCTTGCGGTGCGGAAATGTAGGCTGGATACCCCAATCATCACCATCCCATACCAGTCAGTGAACAGAGCCATTCAAAAAACGCCTGTTAGCAGAGCCAGGGGATCAGGCCGGCGTCATCAAACACCAGGAGAGCCCTTGAATCGGCCTATCCAGGAGCTGCTGATTGAAGGCGGGTCTGGAGGAAGTATGGTGAGCAAAACAACCAGGAATAAAGGACTTGCAGTAAACACGGTGAGAGATAACCAGGTAATATCAAGGCTGATTGGCCATGTAGACCATTTACACCCTCCTGCTTTCTTTGTTGGGTGCTCCTTAGAATAGGCTAAACCACCGGCGTGAAGACTAAAGCTCATGTTCCTCCTTGTTATCTGGAGCAGGGTTTGCCTGGCCACCCTGATTCTGTATTGTTATTTTTAGCCAGTCTTGAGTATTAGCTCAATTAGAGTGTAAGGCAGTTTTCTGACAGCTGAGGGTGAATAACCTCTTCTCCAGATGACTAGGACCAAGATGCCTGATTAAAGAATCACAGTGAGCGTTTACTTTTAGCCAGATTCAAGTTGGGTAAGGAGGACAACAAAAAGCCCTGAAGTACTCCCAAAGATGGTCCTACAGATGGCTAATACACTGTGTCATATGCAGACTCCACTATTTTATGGATTTATCTCAGGTATAACCTGTATGAAATACTAAGACCTACTCAAGCGGCTGCCTGAATGATTAGCCTAGGGTAAAGATAAGATAGGAATTTTTGAGTTCAGATACGCTAGTAAAAGTTTCGATACAATTAAGAATTTACATGCGAGTCCGAAATCAGATGAAGGTCTGGTTCTTCTTAACAAGTGACTATCTAGGCTGTATTTATTATCCTTAAAAGTGGCAAAATGAAGATATCTAGATTCGTAATCATTTCTCCATCCGTAATATCAATTCGAGAATCATGCGTAGATATCTAGGCGGCATCGGCTTCCAAATCACCGATAATGGAAGGTTTATCGAACAAATGGCCGGATGACTCCATTCGGTAAGCGGTAATCTAATTCTACAGAATCCAAGCTCGGGGGAAAATACCAAAAGAGTAAATAGGTCGAGCCTACTAATAGAGAGCATCCGTCTGGAGGGGCACCTTAAGAAAGAGACGTTATTGGACCCTCTATATACGCTGGTATATGCCAATAAAAACAGCTTCCAATAGATTAAAAAAAAGTCTGAACTGAGAGGTAGGAACTAGGTGAAAGCTGAAGACGGTTGAAACCACCTGTATCACTGCAGGGCGATGACCGTGCTCTCATGCTAGGATTTACCTGACATGCAGAGCAGTAGCGACTAGTTTGACGTAGGTGGGCTAGATAACCATGCCCAGAGCAATTGACTATTGTGGGCTAAAGGTGGTGATAGCTGGGCGAAGCAAGACAACTAAGTCAGGCGACAGATAAAGGACTTGACCTGGTTTTGTTGCCTAGGCCGATAGACATAATGACCCAGGGGTGCGCAATCTCTAGATGCGCTAGTACGAAAGACCTTACGTCCCATGAATTGAAT